ATATATATATATATATATATATATATATATATATAAATATATATATATATATATCGAATAAAACCAACGATTATATAAATCAGTTCCAGTGAGATTATTCGACTTATGAAGTATGTAGTCGAACAGAGCGTTCTCTTTTCTAATCTGATTTTATACTGAATAATAGATAGATAAATTAAAAAAGATTTTAATAATTTGTTTTTATTTATTAAACATAAATGCATTGTTCTATCAATTATTTAATATTTTTAATGCGATATTTTTCTATGCAATAGATATATGGGAAACAATATTTGAATTTCAGATATTCTATACTGTTTTCTTTTCAAAATCTGCAATTTTGGATGATTCCGTGAAATTTTTAAATCAACAAACTTTCATTGAGAAATTGAATGCCTTACGTCATGTCCGATTAATTAGGTCATATCGCGAGAGAGGTTTCGTTATGATATTTTTTTAATGATTTTACACGCAGGTTGAGTTGCTGTAATTTATCGTACTTCGAACAATTTATTATTTTTTATAATGAGAAGAACGCGCATTGATATAAGACTTCTTTTTAAACGCCTTTTTCAGTGCATCACCTCTAATATACTTAATATTAATAATTTTGCAACAATCCTAAATATTTCGAGAGAAAACACGAACTTTGAAATATTGAAAGCAATTTGTTGTACATTTCTCTCAGATCTCGACCTGACATTACAAAATACTGGTTGGCACGCTATTATGTCAATGGGTGACTGAGAAATGTGTGCGATGAGCGAACGCTACGTATGCCGCCACGCAACGCTGCTTTCACGTAATTCGCTCATTTCTTTACGTATATTATGAAACAGCGAGAAAGAAAGGAAGAGAGGAGGAGAGAGAGAAAGAGAGAGAGAGAGAGAAGCTGACCGCCTAAGGTTACGTCCGATCACTTTCCTTTCTTTCGACTCTCCTCTTTTCGTTTCTTCTCGATGAACTTGCTTACATCGATGCCAAACGTAATCACTCGTCAAACAAGTTCGACAATATCGCAAAACACTTTTACCTTCTAAGTGTTCATATACAAAATATTATTCGCGCCAAATATTCACTCGTCTACGACTATGCCATTTTAATATTTGCGCACGCGGAAAAGTCAGAATAAAAAGAGAAAGAGAGAAGGAGAGAGGAAACGATTTATGTAATAAGAAATAAAAAATTATGTTAATTGGAGCAAAATTATATCTACACTGCGCTGACATATCGAACGTAATTGCGTCACAAGATACTTATTATATTATATTATATTTCTGATTGCAATGGCGATTTGCATTCGACAAATTGTCGTCCTTGTAAAAAAAAAGATAACGAGCCAACGATATGCGCGAGCTATTCAATTTCCGCGATCGTTATTGAAGAAATAACTGCAATGTTGATTGATATCGACATTACATGTTCCTTTCACATTTTCGAATTCTGCAAGTGATTATGCGGAATATTCTCACTACATCCAGTTTTCAATATATTACGATATTATAGAATATTATAAAAAGAAAATTATACGATTCTAAAGATAACTCAAGATGAGCTTGACCTCTTCATTTAAAAAAAAAAGAAGATGAAACATATTTAACTTTTTATTATTTGTTTTTTTGTATTAGTTTTTTTCTTAGTTGCATTACTATAAGCCTGACCTTTGTAATATCGACGTCGACGTTGATTGTTGTTTCCTCGAACGGAGTATAGCTGAAGAATGAAATAATATAATAGGATCATACACCTATCGAGAGCACTTCTGTGTAGTACTTCTTCCTCTTTGCTCAAATCAGCCGCATCGTTTTTCCTCGATTACGTCACTCATATCCGTGTTTATCCATATATTTATTCTCTTCTTCGTATACACACACACTCATATATTCCACTTGTTTCACTATATCCGAGCATATCTTCTCAAAAGGTATCTCTTATAGAAATTCTTCAGAAATGTGCTTTCGAGTAATTTGCTTTTGAATGGTTTGAATAGATGCTCGAATAGTTTATTTTTGTATATCTACTTTACAACCGCTTATTTCACAGCAGTCTATTTTTATATTAATTGCCTTTTTTTTGTATTTCAGTCTACCTCTTAATAATAAATTTTGCACATTCAATCAGAACGCGAAATTATCAAACCGATTACAATTATCGATGTATTATCGCGTGCACTTTGTATGATCACTGGTCCACAATAAAGGGTTTTATGTTTACAACTGTTGAACATGCGCAATTCTTTTCTTTGTATCACACAATCTTTCGGATATTCTTAAAAGTTGCACGTTTGATTCTGATATGACATGTCTGGCCTTCGATCAATCTTCTAAACTAAAATGTTATAAGAACTTTGAAAAAAAAATAGTTAAAAGAAATCAGTGAAGTATAGTAGAAGAAAAGAAGAAATAATAAAGAAAAGGACGTCTACTGGATCTCTTAAAAACTGATAAGAATCAATCGAAATTCCGAAGTACTCTGGGCTTACATCGAGAAGAAACTAAAATTGCATTTTGTTCACTATATTCTCTAAGTTTCGAAAATTTCGTGAAGCACTATATTAACTAGCAAACTATCATAAATAATTAGGATTTTAGGATTTATAACTTTGCAAACGGAAACTTCGGAACACTATTACGAAGGACTCGAGGAAGTTCACAGTTCTGATGCAAAATTTATGTCGAGATGTCTGACGAATAATTAAGCAAAATTTGGAAGCGCATCGCGTGGTGACAACGAAAGTATAAAATTCGAGGACTCATAATTCAAAAGTTAAAATAAAAATTCCTGTAACACCTCGGGCTGGCTTGTTGACATCTGGCGTTTGTATAACTTAGCGTCGCAATTACCAGACTCGCAAATGTGTTAATCTTCCGTGTCGCTAGGAGAGACTGAGGAACGAATGCGAGAATATAAACGGGAAAACCGAGAGTAAGAGTGACCTAGCCACGTCGAGGCCCAGTAAGAACTGGCTCGGCTCGAGCTGCGGAACCTGCAGAGAATCGGCCACTTGTGCAATCGTCCGTCTCGAGCGAAAGACGAATGTTTAGGAGGGGTAAGCTTTGTGCTCATCCAACGGTGTTTGCTGTATATTAAATTGTGTATGAAAGAGTGGTTCTTTTGGAATTTTCCTTGAGACTTGTATTTTTAGTCAGTGGGCTCAAATGTATTTCAACCACCGAATTTACTGCGAAACAATCGCGCAGGACCAATTTGGTCGGTCATTCTTTTGTTTTCAGTTGCTTTTATCGCGTTTCCCAATCTTCGTTTTGTAAATGAGAGACTCAGAAACCTTTTCTGTCTAGACAAACCGGTCACATTCTATTTTTATATAAAACAGTTTAACAAGATTGCTAATATTTGTAATAAGGAACAACGCATTATAGTGCAGTAATGATTCGAATGGATCTTATGGATAATTTAAATAAATATATTTTACATTCCTAGTATCTTCGACTTAAAAATTTCATTGGTATAAATTTATTAACAACATATGTATACATGATACAATTTTTGTCCATTATTCTTTAAGCAGAGATATCTGTTATTGTCTCAATTTTTGTATAAAACAGTGGAATTTTTGTATAAAACAGTTTAGCAAGGTTGCAGGAACAACGCACTATAGTGCAGTAATAATTCGAAGGGATATTATGGATAATTTAAATAAATAGACTTTACATTCCTAGTATCTTCGACTTAAAAATTTCATTGGTATAAATTTATTAACAACATATGTGTACATGGAATGTATGTGGAATTATTAGTATTATGATAGATGATATTTTTCAGGAAAATCAATTTCACACCGATATACATCGTCACTGTTTATTCACGTCAAGGAAATAAAAAGAGGTCGGGAGACGTAAGAGTGCGAAAAAGAGGATCGCCTTGACGAACTCTCAAAGTCCACGGTTACCAGTTTTATTGGAAAATTGAAGACTGAAAAAAAATATATATATATAAAGAAATTTAGTGGACGAATCTCGTATAATTAGTTAAATATTTAATAATTGAATAAAATTAAACGAAATTATTTATATCAAATAAATAATAAAATCAAAATATTCTGAAGTCACAAAAGTGCCCGTGACTCTGTTTCTGTAGTAACTATTCGACTTTTATTTCACATAGTAATTATTTGAATTAAAAACGTTTAGAGTTTAACAAGTTGATGTAAAAATGAAGCAATTTTGCTTATCATAATTCGCGCATAATCGCTTATTAGCTATAATACATGCAACGTCAACGTTATTGTGCGTTTTGCAGGAACTTCGTAATATAGATTGCAAGAGCACCGACCGCCCCGATTTCTAGACGAATTTCACTCGGTATTCGGTATTGCAAAAGAGGAGTATTACGTACATGCTTTTCCTTTTACTAATCTATGCGCAGTAATTAATTTGCCGAAAGTTGCTGGCGAATACTTACGATGCACCAGGAAAAAATAGCACGATACATCAGGTGATAAGCAGGACTCACCGATAAGACACGCATTTTCCAAACATTTTCCGAACAGCGAGCGACACTTCGTCGTTTAATAATACTCATTGTTAAATTCGTAAAATCTTCACAAAGTTTATCGATAATTTTGCTGCTGCAAGACCGTAGAGTTTCTGGTAAGTAAAGTTATCCATAGCTAGTCGCGCAAAAGGTGATGTAAAGCAAACAATCCTGTATGTGAGAAAAGATAATAAATGCGTAAGCTCGTTAACGTCCAGTAATACAACATTCGCAGTTTAACCTTGATCGTCAACCTCAATGGTTCAGCATTCGATTCCAGAGCATATACATTATTAAATAAAATATGGATCGCGTAAAATACATTCGCTCCACAGTGCAAAACTCGTTAATGATTTAAACGTGTGCTATTTAAAACCGATACAGTAGTGATCGCGATTCGAAATTTTTCGTCCTTCATTTCCGAAAGTTCAGCTCGAGATTCGAGATATCACGATGTGTAATTCCCGTTGAAATCATCTTAGTTGCGGAACGTTTCGCGAAACGACCATACGTGGTTGAAGGAAATGCAATATCGATATTTCAAGTTCTAGTGACGGTATAAGCTGCGTTTAATATTTAATAATACGTCTGTACACAGTTTCTCGGCAAAACACACGCGGTGACCTGGTTCATGAATTAAAATGTTTTTGTTATACTTATAATTGGCTATCTGCAAGGTTCTTGAAAACGAGTATATATGGTAAAAATTGTGATTATATTATAACCATTTTAATATTTTATAATATTAATCAATATTAATATATATTAATTTTTATACGTATAATTATATAATAGTTATATAGTTTTTTTCGAAATATAAAATATATTTTCAACAATCGTCAATCATCGAGTTAATCGTTTAAGAAACTTAACCTCGGAAGCCTCATATAACTGATGTATTGATCGGTGAAGTAAAAATATGGTTTCTTTCGTTTCTTTTAAGTGCGACATGTTCATGGCTCTATACCAATGGACATTTTCATGTTAATTAAGCAAAGATTATTGTGACATCACAGTGACGCATGTTACCTAGAATTCTCGCTGTTTACAATTCTGAAGTATCACTGAGAGATTCTTTGTAATATAGAAAAAAAAAAACGAATTGCGTCATATTATATCGAGTATGAATTACGTCAGAATTATATCAAGAATTGTAATTGAAAATTTTAATCTTAATATTAGTGAGAACCATAGAGAAAAAGGTAGTATCACGGCCTTTCATTTACATTTTGTACAATAGCTTTGTTAATAATCAATATTTTAAGTGAAAAACTTGGATATTGGCGTACTGGCTATATGGGCATAATAGTATCATTGTGTAATGGCGGGCTACTAAATACATAATTCCATAAGTAATCTCTAGAATTCGTCACCTAATAGCGGAGATATTAAGGGAGCCATAATATCACCCTTTTCTGTACATATTACGAGTTGTACGACTGTTTGAGTGTGATCTGTATTTCTCTCTCGGTAACTAGCCGGTGTTACGCAACTTAATAGTTCGGACTTTCTTCCGCGAAAACGGCGCACAAAGAGAACTCAACAGGTTAGCTGAAATCATCCCGAATCATCGTAAGCCGCACTTTCGTTTTCTCTCTCGCGAAGGCGCTCGAGAGAAGTCTTGGTAAGAGACTTAGAAAAACAAAACATGTTACGCCGATTCATGAGCTATGCTTTTCGTTATTTGCTTTTCGTTATTTGGTTAATGCATAAAATTAAATGTAACGCGCCCTCAAAAATATACTGCTTGTATTCTTTGTTTTCATGCTCCTTTCGAATGGACACGCTAAGTTCATGTAACCGCGATGCATCGATATGTAAAATGCATCGCGGAGCGCACGAGTCTCCTTCAAAAACGGCATTGACAGGTATCTAAGAAATCAGCAAGGCCGACCAGTTCAGCGGAGCAAACCAGTTTTTTCAACTCGTGTCACTAGACATTTTTAATTGGAGAAAACTGAAAAAATGATTTTAATTACAGTAATTTCATTATAGGAATTTAATGCGATTTTTTATTCATTAATAATTCATTCATTAATGATTGTTGTGGTTTTCGTTTTTTGTTAGTAATTCATTCTCATATGAAAAAAAAGTCCAGAATATCGATATTAAAAAGTCATACAGAATGATCAAGCAAATATATTGGATCAACTTATATATTCTTAGTCGTTTTCGTCTATTGATTACTATTTCGGCATGATACTGTTTACTGTTTTGGTATCATTCAATTTAAATTCAATAGAAGAAAAGAGTTACCGATCGAATCCATCTTTGTGTCGCTTAATACAGGGAAGTTTAACGGGTTACTAATTTTTAGGCGTATCTCATCGTTTGACACAAGACAGTATAACGGGTTGATCGTTAACAGGTGTACTTAGGTAACACTCGGATAGTTAGCCTACAGCTGTTAAATACAGCTGTTAAATACAACTGTTGAAACATGAAATACACTAATTGTATATAATATTAGTAATAAACACACAAATAATGAAATTAACGCTCACTGTCACGATGATAATAATATCTACGAGACGGAAAAGTGCCTCTTCTATTTTGTTGTTGGTGTATAACATACAGCTTACAAATAATATCCTCTGGTTTAGAATTAATATATGCAAAAACTACTATCACATTGTAAGTATTGAAGACGCGAACGTTGCAACGATTCGTTTTCATGTTAATCCCTTTTGATTCAATCGTGTGTGTGAGTGATTAATATTATGTTTATATATACATATTATTACCTTATTTGTTAATTTATTTATATATTATATTTTTTGTATGAGAGGTATACTCTACTCTATATAATGACGTGCAAGTTTCCGATCGGACGTTTCGGTGATCCATTACTTATCCACGAATCCCCCTCTGTTTCACCTGTCGCAACTACCCCAGGTATACCCAACGCTATGCCTCGAAACGGGGTCAGTGTTTGCCTCAGTATTTACTGGGTCTGTATGACGGGCGGATGGACAGACTGTTCGCTGTTAAATTTATTGTTTGTATCGCAAGACTATCTCGTGTATCATGTACATCACGCAGTTCCTTTAAACTTTTGTCAAATCCGAACTTTTGTCAAATTATTCACAAAAACTTTTACCATACGGATGTGATTTTCACGTGAAGAGGTAGGAGAGAACGGAGTTCCGAGCAATCCGTACTTTGAACCTTGCATGTATCACTAATAGCTTTAGTAAAGTGACAGAGAATGTTTAATTTCCCAACCGCTCTTCTTTTTAACTTAGAACAACAACCTCAATGATAATCTTGATTTAAAATGAAAATTACATAAGACTATATTTTCATGATTAATGTTATGATTAATAATCTGTGAAGTGTATATATTTTCGTGAATAATTATCTCGTGTTTAATCTGATTTGCTAATCAATGTTGAGTTCTTGATAGATTTGTTTTTAATATTTCATACGCTTCAGTTTACTTTCTCGGGAAGAGAACGACTCAAAAATCTGAGAAATCTGAAAATTGACTTTGAAATTATCTAATATGTGTGTATGTGGGTGTATGTATATGTTTCTCGATATTACATCTATACTTGCCAAAATGAAGGATCAAAACTGACTTGATTTTGACGATCTTATCGGTAGAGCGAGCAAGGAAGCGGCGAGACGTACATCATATGATCCATATACGGTGAAACGTGTGCGTGTCGCCTAGATAAATAAATAATAACCGGAGAAAAGAAGGTGGCGAGAAAGTCGTCAAAAGGAAAAAAAATCATCGCGCGCCGGCTCGTTAAATCGAAAGCCGAACGAAAAGTCAGTAGTTGTGGTGGTAGTGCAGAAAGTGCCTCGATTTTTTGAGCGCTCCGATTGTCGCCGATATACGAAACCACAAATTCCTCCTCGTTGCGGTGTTTCCGTTGCGAAGTATTTCCGTCAGTCGCGAAAGTGACGTCCGCTTTGTGCAGTGATTAATCAGCTCTAGGAAAAATCTTCCCTCAGCACCAATGCCGTCGTGGGATCGATTGTCCTTCATTAGATCGTGGTCCAGGAGTCTGCGCCAGGACACAAAAGGTGAATATAAACTGAAAGGATAGACCGGATATTGAGCAAGTATAATAGAATAAGCGAATAAATAATTAACATCGTCCGAGTCGATATTTTTATCTCTTTAAATAACACAAGAAAGTATCCAACAGTGGCTTACATTGTATCATTAATTTTGGTACTATTAATTTGGTAGAGCTTTTTATATATCACGAAAGTCTTCCAAATAAAGATTCAAATAAAGATTTACCAAAGGTTCTTTTTAATATCAATGATTCTATAAAATTAATTCATTATTAAAATTATATAATCCAGGAAGAAACGGCTCAGGCATGTTATGGCAGATATTAGTTCTAGTAGAGTCGACTAGTATAGACATTCAAGGCGCTCCGACTAGAGCACTGTGCCACTGTCGAAGTGCATCGACCCAGAGTGATACTTCTATCCGTGACAGTTTTATTACGTACATGCGATGCATCCTGCGGCTGCATACGCAGCTCGTTCCGAAGGCCGTGCCTGACGAGATGCTCCTAACGGTCCAGCATCCGAGCATGTTCCAGTTTCTCTATCGTAGAACGTGCTCAGAATCAACGAATATCACGCGGCGAATAATACACTCGCCACGCTTTAAAGCATTCCAATATTATATACAACTCATTAAGGCAATACATTATCACATATGTTAATTTAACGTAGCTCGCATATTAAACGCTTCAGATGTTTATAATACCGAACAAGTTACGTCAACGATATTTTTATCCTTTTTTTTCCTTTTTTTTTTCCTTTTTTTGTGTTTTTGTTTCTCTATCTCTCTTTCCATTCTAAAAACTCCTATACAAAGGAAGAGAATATTCCATATAAATTTAAAACGAATTAATTGCTATATTTGATTAATTTAGATTCAGTTTGTTTTCCAAGGAAACAAGAGTAGTTATCAGTTTTTTTTTTCCATTTTCTAATGTTTCCTCGATATTACACAGGATATTCCAGCACATCCAGCAAACCGTTTTCGGTTCCCGTGGTATGCAAGTAGAACGGGCGAAACTGAGCAGAAAAGTCACATACCATTTTGTAAAATTCGCAAAAATTTGATCGAACATTGTGCAAAGAAAAATGGCTTATTTCTGAAGATCTTCTAACAACGATAGGTATGAATTAATAGGAGGAAACGTGTTTTTGCGACGCGTGACCTTGTGTCAGAACCGCTCTTTTATTGCTCGTTACCGCACCTTTAGAAACCAACTGATACTCATTATAGGAGATCTATGAAATCTTCAGAAATAAGTCGTTTTTCTTTATACAGTGCTCGATCTACCCTTTCCCATTCATTAGCTCAGACAAAATAATTAATTTCTCACGTATTATTGCGTATTTTGCAAAATGGTTTATAACTTTTCTGCTCAGTTTCGCACGTTCCATCTGCACATGGGAAACGAGAATGATTTGGGACACCCTGTATATTCCTATACATATATTCCTCTGAACATGGGAAACGAGAATGATTTGGCACACCCTGTATATTCCTATACATATATTCCTCTGAACATAGGAAACGAGAATGATTTGGGACACCCTGTATATTCCCATGCATATATTCCTATACATTAATACATAATTAACTTTCAAATTTAAAGTCTCTCTATGTAAAATTCATTCATTACGGTCAGATATAACATCTATAATAAGACATCAAACATTTTTAGTTAAACTAACGTGTCATAATAAAACAAAAATTTGTATTATGTACATTATATAATCGTATTTATTAATATCGTACGCCATATATGTCAAAAAGTTGTCTGAGTTATAAATAAAAGTTATTCAGCATAAAGCATACTTGTGTGTACGAAAAGTGGGAGTACGAACTGGCTATATAAAAGGCCGTTTGCTTCTTCAGCAGCTACCAGTCAGGGTAACGTGAGTGGAGCAACGTTGACTGTTAATATTATATTTCAAGACAAGCCCAGAAGGCAAAGAATAAAAAACTTATTGGCTATTATTTCTGTGACATGTATCAATTATTCATGTGATTGTTTCCGTGATGTACTGTGCGTTTCATACATATTTTAACTAGTTGACATATCTTGCCATTCGTAAAACGCTTCTCAAAAGGAATTTACGAAGGATAAAACGTACCAAACTCATCGATTACAAAATCACACGCAAAGATAGTCTACTCAGATCCAAGCCAGCTCGCAGATAACAAGGTGATACGTAAAAAAAATAAAACAGTTTTAAAATAGGTTTATTCAAATTCTTTATAAGTACTATTTTCAAGCACTATTTTTAAAGTTTTTTTCAACATTTTTACATGCGTGTATTGTAAGATAATTCCTGAAGCAATTTAAAAACATTTCACACACATATCTTTTATGTGTTAGCAATCAATTTTCATACTTCAACTAATCAATTAATTATATAATTTGTTCATTTAATATCGCATATCCTTATAACTAATTTTAACCCTGCTTTGTAAAATATTCGGTCATTAGGATTTTAAGTTTACTTCACATATACGTAATCACTGCGCGTAATATGTGTGTGTGTGTGTTTCTATAATAAATATTTTATTATGTTTTTATCAATATGTTTTTTCTAAAAAAGTACCGTTATGTATTCTTTATGTCTGTTTGCGTTTAACTGAATCTTCTGCAAATATATAAGTACCTTAAGAAACTCAGCCAAGACAAATACTATAGAATTACAATCGAATTACACGTAATATACATAAACATGTTGCATTTTTGTTCTATTATTATATTTTTTACCTGTTATAAGATGTAATCGCAAGTTTCAATCTGCACTTACATTTAATTATCAGTCAGACACGCTGTATTCAGCACTATATGACAATTTTATTATATCGGTTACATTATTATATCAAATATGATGCAGACATATTATGAATAAATATATATTTTTGACATCTTGACATCTCGATCTGCTTATTTTTGAGAAAATAACGATATAGTATATAATCATGTAATCGATTCAATAGACAAATACTTTAATTAAAAATCAAATATTTACTATAAAAGAAATTTAACATTTGCAAGTCATGTTTGCTTATTAATTAAGCCATAAATCGTGTCTTACAACTGATAGTTGGTGGTATGTTACGAAACTCAGTAATAACTAAAAATTACCACGTTTCGTAACTTAGCATCAAGTGTCTCAACATTCATTTCGCCAGACTTCAGTTAGAAAATCTAGAATAGATGTTTTATGTATACAGTTAAATTTAATAACATGTGCTAGAGAAAAAAGTATAGAAAATATATAAAAAACGTTGATATACCTACAATAGAAGTATTATATAAAAAGATACACTATGTGGAATCTAAAAAACAAAGCATCTTCTGACCGTATTTCAGAAATATACAACTTTTAATAAATGTCAAACTTTGTAACTTTTTATAGACTTACGTTTTATAATAGCTTGATTTTTACATTTAGTTCTTACCGAGTTTCATCAGCGCAACAGAAAAACCGAATGTCAAGTATAAATCAGTAATCCATCTTAGCAATTTTTCAGTCGATGTAGATGATAAATTCTAGAATATTTTGCTTTTTATTTTGATAAATATTTGAAGTGTTCCTAAATATTGTAATGCTTAACATATGCATAAATTTCATAAAATAAAGAGACATATTCTATATTTTTTATGTCCAAATATATCCTCCAAGAATTACTATCTAACAATAAATCGTCAATAAGTTGCTCGTATACGCAGATTTGGAGGATAAAATCAGTTTGGGAGAAATTCTCTCTTGAAAAAAATTAGTTTTTATGTTTTTGAGTGACAAAATTTAAGTTATAAAAAGAAAAAAATAAATAATAGATTTAGGAAACTTCTGTGACAGTTTGTGTGTAAAAGGTTACATATAATAAACTCTAAAGTTTATTGTTAAAATTATACAGTATAGCAATATTGAATATACGTTAAAGCATTAATGCAAAAATGTACGCGTCAAACGTCTGTATATATCTTTTGCTTTGTAATAAATTAGTAAATCAATATGTAATTTTTTTCTTTTCATTCGTTATTATTCACAAGAGGTGTTACAAGACTGCGACATATTTCTGTTGTAGTTACGTCGCTAAGCGAGCAGCCCTCACCGTTTCGCGAGATGGTACAGCAGGAGGCTGTCGTCGTGAGGAACGCTGTAAAGCGTTACGAGTCCGAGAAAGTGGTACTCGATGGTCTGGACATGACGGTGTCCAGGGGTTCCATGTGAGTAATCGCTACATTTGTCAATAAACAGCTATGTTCCTGCAGCCAGTGGAAGGGGTTATTAAATAATTACGTCACGCAAAATTTGAGTATTTTTTACTCATATCCTTTTGTCACATTTTGTCATGAAGTATTGAACTTCCTCCCAATATTACGTCACATGTGGAATAATTCCCTCTCCCATCTCCCTCATCTCCATATTACGTAAATAGATTTCTTTAGATCAAGCACGAAAATAAGCACCGCGTGCCGAGGACTTAATGTGGCATTCCATAATCTTTATGAACGCCTCTCTAAGAATTTGCCGTTCGGAATCAGCTGTAGCTGTCCTATATATACCTATATATAATCAACGTACACACCACAGGCATATGAAAGAGGCCACTATGCCCGGGCAATAAGAGAAGGAAGAATAACTTTTATCCTTCTCCTCTCCTCTCTTTTTTACTATTTGTACAATCTTCACGAAAACCAATAAATTCTCCTTACTTCGTAGCGTGACGTAATTGTTAAATAACTTCAAAATAATCATACATTAAATCAATTTGATGACAGGATTGTATCTCATGCCATTCCCGTGCGTGCAAGTTTTGACTCTCTTTTCTCATCGAATTTGATCTATTGCAATTATTCGAGTATCATGTAATGGCATTTCCACTATGTTTTACTCCACAAATACGAGACAAGTCTTTTGCAGCAGCCCAAACCTAATTGCTTTATCCTTCGTATAAACGAGCTGAAATTGTCGTCATGCAATTTTCCACGAACATTCACCGATCGTTTAAATTGCTGTCAATTACGTCATACATTGCACAATAATTACATGATTTTCGCTTAGTATAAACACCCGTATAGAAGGAGAAACCCTTTCTATTATTTATGATTCTTGAAAAATTGAATCTACGATTCTTTTTTTACAACGTGCATAACGTATGTGCAATGAAAATTGCACTAATTTACAACCAAAAATTACTTTGAGCTAGAAAGTGTTTCTTAAAGATTTTTGAATGTTGAAAATAATGCCGCAAACCAAATTTCACCAACACGTCAGGCTTCGAAAATTTCCTGTATGAATATCCACAAAATGTGTGCACGAGAAGCGATAGATCGGACTGTAGCCTTATATTTGTAGTCAAATATAAATAGCTTCTAGCTTTGATAAAACTATTTTTTTGTGAACTCGTGCTATCTTGCAAATTACATGCTTTAGAACGAATCAGTCAGAAAATCTCCTTCGGGCTCCAGCATCAAGACACTGCGGAAATCACTTTCGATCCTTTCGACGGCATCTTTTCGGGTTCTTCCGTCGGCAAGACTTGATTCACTGCACTTAAAATTTCATCCATCGCCGATAACCTGTATATTTTTGTCCCTGCTCCTGCCGCTACAACATTATCATGTTGTTCTACTGCAATTTTTTTTTTCGACACATGAGGCTGATTTAGCATATTCCGATCGTTACTCGAAGGAACGATTGCTTGGAACGTTCTACGAGAAAAGATCCTTGGAACGTTTGTGATATTTTTTTGCAATAACGCGTGCAACATGGCATGACTTGCTTTCTGTTTATTATCTGCTGCAGAAAATTTGATATTACTTTTGTTTGACAAAAGAACTGAAGCTTTTTTCAATAATTGAAACCGGTTTTCAGGATCGCTAAGTTTCGTCACAAATACATTATTCGATGTTCCTTTCTTGGTAACGTTTTGCTTTGAGGATTTTCTTGTGTTCAGTGAAGTATTTTTTACCGCAAATGAATATTTATCTTGAGGCATTTGAAATAAAGAATTCTCATCAGTGAAACTATTTCCAAACGCGGTAGATTCGTTCATTTTAATTTCTTGACTGACGGGTTTAATCTCAGCAGTGGTGGAATTTTTCCCTTTGGAATTACTATTACCAGTCGCTAATGCAGAATGACTCAACATTCGCGCTCCTATTTCCAACGGAATTTCATTTTCAATTATAGCGTCGTGCTTCGATCTATTTTTGTTGTGATCTCTATCTGTATTACTTTTTCTCTCTTCGTCTAATGATATTAGATTTATGTTGCACGTTCGAGAGATTATGTTTCCCACGAAGTCGTCCTTGTACAAAGTTTTGCAAAGTACCTCTCTCAGCACAGTTCCTCCGGTTTTTGCGTTAGCCGAGTCAGATTTGTCTAACGATGCACCGTTTATCGCACGACTCACCATTTCAGGCTCCACGATGTTTATCGAAGGTATTATCTTGTTGAAATTCATCACTGAAAAACATCAAACCTTTCAGCATGTAATATATAACGTCTGCACTTTCTTTACGGGCTCCAATTAAGAACAAATCGACTCACCGAGATAATTTTGATAGCGATCGATTCCGTCATTAATCTTCAGCATCGTCTGTTGGATGTTTGCAATTTTCCCACCAAAATCGACCGTCAAAGTAATCCGCCTTGCCGAGTGTAATTTTCCGACCATTTCGTCAACACCATTGCTTGATTTATTCGCGTGAAGATTAATCGACACCGTACCGTCGTCGAGCATTGATAATGATCCCTGTACCGAGACGGAAGAGATCGCTTTTGCTGCAAACGACAGAATCAAGATGCAGCTGATCATCATCGTGTTGTGGCGAAACTGAAGCGAGTTGCGAGCTCGCCCGATGATTTTATGATGCCGCACTCGATAACGATATCATTCCCGCTGTATCGCGATTCAGTGGAAACAAAAGAGTTTGGGCGAACAAAAGTCAATTTTTCCGACTCTTCCCTCTTCCATATTGACTCGAAGCCATCGACATATCTTTTTCATCTTCCTTTACTTTTCCAAGAAAACATTCCATTAAAAATCAAATCACTTATTACTTTATCAAGGACAAGTTAGGTTAGCTGAATCATTAAATCGTTTTCGTCGGCGGTTGATCGTTATATGGTTGCGAACTTAACGACATCGCGACTGCGAGATTGTCAGTGATAGTGAGTAACATGGTTTTTTTACGAGCCACCTGCCTGTCATCTGACCGCTCAGACTGATTACTATTCACGCGGGCAATTATAAACACTATTGTTCTTCGACGAAGTGCAAAAATTATGGAGATAAGCATGCGAAAGCTTTGAAGGAAAAAGCCACGCGATCTGCGACTCCAATCGAACATGGATTAACCGCTGTCGAAATCTCACGTTCTATTATTCGGCCGTTAATTGTAATGAAAAATTAACTTTCTATTCTTATCATGCGAAACAGTTACGGATTATTGGGCGCTAGTGGTTGCGGCAAAACCACCCTGTTATCCTGCATCGTTGGTGTCCAACGTCTCAACAGCGGACAAGTGTGGGTCCTGGGTGGAAATCCCGGCAGCGAGGGCTCCGGGATACCAGGACCCCGCGTTGGTTACATGCCGCAGGAAATCTCCCTCGTGGGCGAGTTCACGAGGAACGATGCGCTTTATTATTTCGGCAGGATCAATGGTCTCGAAAACGACGAAATCGGTAGGACGAAGACTCGACGCGAGTGGTTGCGGTCGAGATAACCGAAAGTCTTTTGTTATGTTTCGCAGAGACGAGGCAGAAGTTCCTCTCAGAATTGCTCCAATTACCACCGGAGAATCATCTGGTGAGGAATATGAGCGGTGGTCAGCAGAGGAGGGTGTCCCTTGCCGCTGCCCTGATTCACAGGCCGGAACTCTTGATCTTGGACGAGCCCACCGTCGGTGTGGACCCGGTTTTGAGGGAGAAGTAAGTGGATTTTGTTTTCCTTGCCCGCCCTTACTGCGCGCTAGAGATCCGAGAATTGTAGAAATGTAATGTAAAGTTAGCAAGACGTAATGCGGGACAGACAGTTGTCAAGTGTCCTTTCCTTCCCAGCATTTGGGCCCACCTGATTAAAATTACGCAGGAAGACAACATCACAGTGCTGATCACAACGCACTACATCGAGGAGACCAAGGACGCGAATAAAGTGAGTCGGTTGTTCTACCGTACTCTGTTAGAATTTTTCAGTTATTAATCTCTGTCATCGATCATAGATCGGTCTGATGAGATACGGCAAATTGTTAGTGGAATCGTCGCCGAATCAATTATTGGAGCGATTTCAATGCACTTCCTTAGAAGAGGCGTTCCTGATACTAAGTCGTTCGCAGGAAGAAAATTTAGCTGTCACTAGCGGATCTACGGCTCGGAAGAGCAAAGTGGAAAATTCTGAAAACGAGATATCGTGCCAGGAGGAAAATAGGCGAACAAAGGTAAAAACAGTTCTAAGCGCATCAGGTTGTTATTATCTCCTAATATAATTATTATTTATCGCAATTGCGATTCCATTAACAGTTATTATTAATTATTATTTCTCTCCTCTTCGGATTATAAAGGATAAAACTACAACGTACAAGGAAAACCAGGAAAGGAAAGTGTCGCGATGGAAAAGATTCAAAGCTCTGATGATAAAAAATAGCATCCAGTTTCTACGTCATTATTCGTATGTATTTATATCGATGGTTTTTCTTGCCGATATTTAAATTTACGTCACCATTACTTTCAACGAGCAAAACAATTTGTTTCTCAGAGGATTAGCCTTCGCGGTGTTATTCCCGATACTCCAAGTGTGTACATTTTTTATCGGAGTCGGCCGGGATCCAAAAGGCTTGACAATCGGCATTGTCAATGACGAAGCCAGCAACTGCGACGGCAACTTCGGGAACGTCTGGTACGATGAGGAAGAATACACATGCCATTTCGGCAACCTCAGTTGCAAATTTCTGCAGCAAGTCGGTGATTCGATTGCGAAGAAGGTACGACAACGTCGGTTCTTTTGTACCCATGCGCAATATACGCAACTGTTGCCCTCAGCAGATAAAAAAAGGAAAACAGAACGAAAGAACTTTTTGATGTGGCCACTACCGATATTCTGTTGACAGAAGTACTACGAAGACATTTCCGAAGCGACTAATGATGTGCAGAACGGCAAACTTTCCGGCTGGATATATTTTAGCCGAAACTTTTCCGAGGCTCTTTGGACTCGAATGGAGGACTTCATTAATGTCGAGGAAAGCGACATTATCGCTGGACAAATTCAGGTTTCTCTCGATATGGGTGGTATGTTATTAAATTCTATAATTGGGGTTTATGTTATATAAAACTATCCATCGTAATCTACTTAATTATCCTCATGTGATATTCACTGATATCGTTCCTAAATCGACTTTAAAGTCCGTCGAAATCTATGCAGCAGCGAATAAATATGTTCAAAACGAAGTTTCAATTAAATTCGTGCTGACGTTTGTCCAACAGATAGACAAATCGGGCTTTTCCTTCAGAAGAATTTGTTCGATCGTTTCTTTGAGTTCTACAAGGACGTGATGAAAGACTGTAGGATTTCACCGAAGTTCGCCAATCTACCTATTCATGTAAGCATACTTTATATATATATGTGTATATATATATATATATACTTACAGCACTGTAATCCTCTCTCTTTCTCTTTCTTAAACTGAATTCTCGAACAAAGAATTAATCAAAGAAACACTCTGTTAGCGAATGCACTCAACTGTCAGAGTGTATCGCTCCGGCTGGACCTGCCCAGCGCAGGACACGGAATGCAGTGAAGGATCGATGTAGGGAAAAAAATAGTTAGGAATCGATTGCAGTTAAGGCAATGGTTTATTCAGTCACTGAGACGAGGCAGAGTGGCGATCTGACCCTTACAGTTCACGGCGTGAGGAGACGTTCTCCGGCTTTGTCGAACAAACGTGTTCAGAACTCGCTCGATCGGCCTTCCTGAGCGCTCGTCGAATTCTTCGCAGCGTTTGACGATTAGAACGGTCTTCTTATTGTCCGCAACCACCATTGCAGGACGCAACACGATTTAATTCGACGATCACGATGTTCAAAATGACAAATATAATTTAAGTTGATGACTGGAAGATCACTCGCGAGGGAGTCGCGAGGACGCAGATGATATATCGACATCATGCTCGCTTCACATGTTATGAGCATGATCAATTTAACTCTTTCCTGATGAAAGTTAGAATTTTCAACACACTCTGCAAATAAAATTTATAACTGCCTTATATGTACTCAATATTATAAAATTCAACATTGAAAAATAGTTACGTAGACTAAAAGTAATATCCCAAATAAAATTTCAGCTTGAGGATCCTGTTTACGGAGTAATGGATACCGACTTTAAACGTTTTATGGCACCGGGCTACATATTGACGTAAGCAACTAAAAGTATCGAACATAATAATTATAAAACTAGTACAGTAATGATACCAAGTATATTCATATAAGAGCTAATTTTTATATCGAAAACTTATCCGGGACGAGTTCCTAAAATGTTGCGATCCATTTGTATATTCGTGTTCACGATTATGATTCACAAATTACAAATGGCAATATGATCGTTTAAAAATACTATCCGACAGCATACGTGAAATTATTTATGTTTTTCTAGGCTTCTCTTCTTCTTGGCTACTACGATCTCTACATCTTTAATAATCACAGAACGGGGAGAGGGTGTGTGGAACCGAAGTCTTGTTCAAGGTAACTTTTTGAGTTTCGAATAAATAATAAATATAAAAATCGTCGAATAAAATTGTGAAATTTACGACAGGAGTGACAACTGCGGAGATTCTAACATCCCACATATTGACTCAAAATATCATCGTAATCATTAACACTACGATGACGCTATGTTTATGTTTCCCCATCTGGGGCCTAAAGTGCACAGGATCGATATTCGCCGTAGTTTGGTTTGGTTTTTTCAGCGGTATCTGCGGATTGATGTATGGTAAGTATTCTAATATCAAGACATATCAAGACATATTAAGATATTTATATACGATACGATGTGTTAAGATATGTATTTATATACTCATAAGGATTATATACAGAGTGTCCCGCTTTAATTTCCTCAAGCCTATTTTTTTGAAAAACACTCATTTGTGAGAAAAATGTTTTATACAAAAGTTGTAGGATATTAAGGGGAATGATGTAGACATTTGTTTGACCTTGCGATGTTCTTGAGAATCGTTATCAAGATTAGAGAATCGAGGTCATAAAAATCTTAAATAGAACTCTCTGTTTTTCATAGTATATTTTTATAGTTGACGTTGAGACGTTTCCGAAATCCAAACCTTTGTTACAAACTATTTTTTTCCTAAGAATTTTCCTAGTTATGGAACTTGAAAGTTACACTAATACCGGCATTAACATTGCCTAAGGTGTATTGCATGAAGATTGCGCGGTCAGATTTATTTTTCCTGTGTGTGTGTGTGTGTACAACATGGTAAAAGTTAATTAAATGATATATTCTCAGGTTTCTTCATCTCCGTTATGTGTACGAATCACACTATGGCACATTATGCTTCAGCTGGAAGCCTCTTCCCGCTGATACTTATATGCGGTGAGCTTCTTTTTTTCATATTTTGTGAAACTTTTCTGATTATTCAGTTCCCAATGACTTAATTTATATGACATATAACAGGAAACTTGTGGCCAATAGAAGGAATGCCGAAAGTGCTTCGCTGGATTAGCTACGTTATGCCGATGACCTTGCCAACCATGTCTCTCAGAGAAGTCATAGACAAAGGACAATCGATATATGAATTGAATGTGTACAGGGGCTTATTCGTGCTTTGCGGTTGGTCATTATTTTTCTTTATCGTATGTTTAGTTGGTTTGAGATCGAAATCCTCAAGTTAGTTAAAACAAATTAAGGAAATTCACCCGAAGGAAGACAATTAGACATTTCCGCTAAGAAATCAACTTCAAATTTACTCAGGGAAACTATCATTAAAATTATGATCACGAGGGTTGTATAGCGCAATGGCCTTTATATCATAATTAATATTAAATATAAGTAAAAAAAAACAAACGCGTATATAACAAAGCTCGTGAATATAAATAAAAAATATATGGACTATGTATATTTTGTGTTCATAATTGTACACATTTATATTAATTTTATTGTAGTATATAATATATACGATTTCTCTCTCTTACACTGCACATTTTATGATGTAATTATATAAGATAATGACCGTAACGTGGAAACCTGGTAATTTTTTAAATATCCTGATGTAATATCGTAACGATATAAACATAGTAATGAAATAATCAAAAATATCATTATATGGTTTTAAATTATTGAGAAAGATATTGTTATATTTAAATAGTATAGTGTGTGTGTGTGTGCACGCGCGCGCGCGCGCGTGCGTACGACTAAATATTATATTTCATAACATTTTTTTGTAAATTTTTATATATTTGTTATCTCACGCAGAATTTCACATAAATAAGACGCGTTTATATATAATGAAAAGTGTGAAAAGATAATAAAGGAAGAGGAGAAGGAGAAATCTGGAAATTGCAAGCTTGTTGGATATAATTTTGTTGCGTTTTATTATATTCCTCCGTATACGATATAATGTAATTTTACATTTATTCACAGATGTATACGGTTTCCTATGTACAAACATGTACAATGTGCGGACTATGTATACTTTGTGTTCATAATTGTACACACTTATATTAGTTTTATTGTAGTATATAATATATANGTCATTTACCATTATTTGTTATGTATCATCATTAAACTACAAGTATCGTACACGATTATTACTATCTATTATCGCATTACTATCAGCTTTCATTGTTAATTTTAATATTATTTTATAATAAATACGTTTATTTTTTTTTTATAACAACATTCTCTTTATCTTTTGTGGTTATCATATCTTCGTCGGTAACTATCATACAGAATTATAGCACGATATAGGTCTCTCTGTAACTATATGTATATATATATATATATTAATTTAATTATACACTCATTATGATTACAGTCGTACGATAATTATAGTAATATGTCACCTGTGATGAGGAATTTATTACCATAATTATAGTTGTTAACATATTTATTATTACGATCAATTGTAGCAATAAAATTACGATGCGATAAATATATTAATTTAATATAATATTAATCGTTGCGGTACTCTTCGTTTAAAACGTTTGAAAAATGTTTATTTTTGTTTTTAATAAATAACCCTGATTAAATAGTGTGGATTATTAAAACACATCGGTGAAATCACTCCTATAACCTGGTAAAAATATAACCATATTGTAAAAATGTAGAAACAATTCTCTCTCTGTGCTACCAATTATATTCAGTGTTTCAAAAACTTGTACTCAAAAATCTATAAATAAAAGAATAGATAATAGGTTTAGTGAGATAATTAAATGTAAGAACGATCAAGATATCGATTTCGTGCGTTCTCGTTCTCGTTGTTGCTGTAAGTGTTGTTGCTGTTCTTGTTGTTGTTGTTGCTGCTGCTGCTGCTAACAACCATGCTAGTTTCCTGATTAGGATCGTTAGTAGCGCAATTAGGGCTTTTAGCAGAAAGAAGAAGAAGCCGGGGCCGGCATCGGATCGGTCGGGCAGCAACGAGACAGCCAACTATCTGTCTTACAGTAGGCATGCAGGTTTTGTTGTATCCTGGAAAAACACACGTCACATGCTCCATCAGAAGCAAAGACTATATTATCGACCGCCATCATGCCATCAATTAGGACTTTGTGCCAAATACTCGTTCTCTATGTATAATAGATCTCAAACTTGAAGTGTAATTGTTGTTTTCTTGAAATTGTGCAATCGTTAAAATATAAATGTTACGAATCAATTTTGACAGAGAATCTCATAATACGCGACTCGATGATTCACACGCGATTCAATATGACATTTAAAAATAGATTGATATTGTTATATGTATATTTTTCCACTTTTGTTTCTCAATCGTTAAAAAATAACATGATAGCAGTCGCATCAACAAAATCATGGTTTACTTTCGTCGAACAGATCCGGGAGTGCACAAGAACGCAACGCAGACGTAAGAGAAGAAGAAGAAGAAGGGGAGCAAAGAAGAAGAAGCGAAGGTCATAATCATTCCAGGGCCTAACTTTAAGATTTTGAATTCGTATCAGTCAACATTGAACGTTAAAATTGCACCCAAGCTGGAGGTCGGGATTCGACTGGTTGATTGGAGGACGAGAACATAGCGCATAACAACTGAGATTACAGGTCAGAATTCAGGGTTCTGTCCATAGTTTTCAACGTAGTTTGTACATTCCCAATGGAGATAAGAATTTACACTGTACACTACGTCGACAGTCTCATTTTAATTCTTAGGTGTTTTCGATGCGGTAGTAAAAATTACATCTGGAAACATCAAAACGCCTTCTCCATCACAACTCAATGAATATGTCTCAAACGATAAAGACACATAACGTCATGCAATAGAGAAAGACAAGACTCATCAATAAACGTTTAGCATTCTAAATACTTAATGGCAGCTTGACGAGTCTAACAAAGATACAAAATGCATCATTTAATGCCGCTAAAGGGAAAATTAAGCGGGTTATGGGAAGTAGCAGCATTCATGGGGTCTTCGAACGATTAGTAATATGCATGTCAACATTATTGCACCAGCTAACGATGATAACTAACCGATTAAAAACTGATGATAGAAAAGTTCCTACGGACGAAGTACTATACGGCGCGATACTGCGATTTTAGGAAGAAACTCTTCGTTTTAGACTCTTCATACAACATGCTGATAACGACGAGAAAAATACTACAAACGGTAATACTGATCTTGCGAAGAAATTCTTCGAATGGATGAGTAACAAAATAATGCAAATTCTATCACATATTTTTGGCACATCTGGCACTACTTTTCGCACGCTTCGCGTTTTCATTCTCGAGCGAAGCGCTATCTCTTTAAATCGATGTATCGCATCATTATTTACAGTCATTGTATAACACGGCTCTTTGTTTTTTCTCGTTACATTAACAGTAATATTACTAAGATTGTCTTGTTATATCATTTGCAAGTTTTGCATAAATCATCCAACAATTTCCCAATCTTCGATCGGGAATAACAATTTCCGCTGTTGGTCCTTTCTATCGATACCGAGCTATCGATTTGTATATGGTATATCGTTCGTAATTATTACGGCAATATTACAACAGTACAACCATCACACAATAGTTATTATATATAATACTGCAACGGCACAAATACTTATGCAAAGCCAAGATGCGGCGTAATTACAATTCATAATTCATATATAATTACTTTACGTCTATTATTTTTACAACAATCCGTTTGACATTTATTTTTTTCGTTTCATATATATATATATTTATGTATATATCGAGGAAAGGCTCGAAAGTGTTCTCCACTTCCAAATTTTCGGTTAGTAATAAACAAGCGGTATATAGATTTTCATTTGAATTTACTCATCCAGATCAGTAGCCTTTCTCGCGAGTCATTTCTACGTGATCCCCCCCATTCTAGGTCATTCAGTGCTCAGACTACTCCTATTACAAAGCAGTCTCCTTCTCACTAATAATCTTGATTCCATGTTGCGTGAGAATCATCTTTACCGCTTCCTTGTCACGGGCGTTGGGTTTTTGGACCGCCTGCGTTGCGTCTTCTTCCTTCCTTGCTAGGCCCTCCAAGTTATCGGTGAGAGAGCTCCGGCGGCCTACGTCGTCGGCTGATCTCTGCAGGGACTTGGACCTCCTCGAGATCCGCAGATTATCGGCGGACGCGACGAGGGTCGGATTCTTCGCGACTTTGAGCGCCTTGTCGGCCGTCTTCGCAGACATCTTCGCCAGTTGCAGACTATCCACCGACGAGTACCGTCTGTTATCGCGTACATTCAGTTCTTCCTTCTTCCTGAACAGGGAACCTTTGCGACCGACTTTCCTCGTCCCGCTCGTTAAGATGGCGATCTCGTCCTTGGGAATGAAGTACAGCTCACGAGGCTGGTCTCTCACCATCGAGGAGCCATGAATGAACAATGAGCGCGACTTGGATCTGTCGGACTCTTTGATGCTCTCCTTCTCGGAAACTCGGCTTCGATCGTCGGCCGATTCCGTGCCGCTTTGAAAGCCGCAATTCTCAATCTCAAAGCTGTCGTCGTCGTCTTGGTTCGGCTCGACGAGCCTGAAGGCGTATCTATCCGCCGGTATCATGGTGTTCTGATCATAACTGCCGTCCATTTCGCCGCAGATTCTGCAGAGCTCGCAGGGTATCTCTCCGTGGGCCGAGTCCATCACTATTTTGCCCTCGGATTCCTGCTGGTTCAGCGAGCCGCAGATGTCGCATTCGGTGGAGTCGTCGTCGTCGGCCAATGAGCTGCAGGTGGATCTGAGCGTATAGAAGGTCTCCTGGTTCGGACTGCTGATCTCTTCCTCCGTCCGGAATGTAATCTCGTTCATGTAGCAGCAAATGGAACAAAACTCGTCTGGGATGTCGAGCTGTGAACTACTCGACATCTTGCCCGGCGTGCCCAGGAACACCTCTTGAATTCGCTTGATCGACTCGTAACTCTTGGACTTCTTCGAGAAGGTGTCGTCCTTTTTGGGCTTTGGCGCAAACGACTCATCGGACACGATCATCGAGTCCAGGCTGCCCTGAAGAGGCACGTTGTAACGTCGCACCTTCCTCGTGTACACGTCCTTGATCTCGTTAAAATTCTGCTTCGTGTTATCGTCAACGGTCTTCTTATCGTTCGCTTTCGCGTCCTTCTGAGTCTTCCTCGGGCTTTCCGTAAAAGATATTTTAGAGGAATGCTGAGTAACTTCTTCACCCGCTTGTCGATTATCGGCGGATCGATGCACCGGCAGATTTTGCTCCTTCGTTTCAACGTGAATTTCGGATATCTTCTTTGGACTTTCTACTGTCTTCGTGGAAGGCTTCTTTACAGAATTCTGAAAGACTTCCTCAAGCTGGGAAATAACGCGATCGTTGATAGCTCGATCGTAATCCTTCATCTCGCCGCTTTTATGGTAAATCTGTTTCTCTCTGAGCTTTTTGGGACTCTTTGCGCTAGTTGACAATTTTTGAGAAACTTTCCCGGTCTCTCGGTCGCTAACGTACTTACTTTGATCCTTGAACTCGCGATCATTTTCACCCGTGTGATGTCCCCTAACTTTCATAGAACTCTTTGTCTTCGTGGAAGCTGATCTTAGAGAATTTTGGAAGACTTCTCCTGAGCAATATATCTTTTGATCGTTAATTATTTGATCTTTATTCTCGATACCAGCCCCGGCTTCAGTGATTTCACTTTGCTTGACCTTTCCGGAACCTTTCCTCTCCATAGGTGAATTTTGAAGAACTTCGGATTGCCGATTCTTCGGTTCCTTAAGCTCAGTCATCTGGCCGTCCTTGACTTTCCTCGGACTCTTGCGCGAGTTCACGATTGATTTCAGGTATTTGCCGTCTATCTCAGAATTCGAATCGCAAGATATCGTCCGCTTTTCCAAAGAGTGAGCATCCAACTCTGATCCTTTCTGCATTTGGTTCTCTTTATCAGTCCCTCGCATCTTGAACGCTTCTTCCGTCTGCTTACTTTTCCCAACGTCGATCATTCTGTCTTCTTCGCTCTGTAAAGGTGATCTTTCCTCGACGAATCGCGCTTCTTCATCAGTCTCTTTTGTCGTAATACCTTTAGAAGCGTTTTCATGGCTCTTGCGAACTATCGTACTACTGACTACTTGAACATTGGCACCGATCTTGCTGTCATTTGCAGAATCGTCGTCTATCGCATTCTCTCTTTGACCATCGGTTAAACTCAATTTGGCACTAAACAGAAACTCATCTTCATCCTCTTCATCTTCCTCGGATCCATACTGACTAAGTCGATAGTCTTCCTTGTCTACGCTGAAGTCGGAGAGCGCGCACTCATGACGGCCATCGAGTGATGTCATCGAGATGTTTAACGGCGAAGCTTTGATTTCTGAATTTTTAGTCTTGTCCAACTCAAAGTCGGCAGTTTCTTTTCTAGAACCGGTTCCTCTATCATCGAATACGTCGTAATTCTTTAGAATACTTTCCGGACTGAGTGCGCCCACCTCTTTGTCATCTAAATATTCATAGCTGTTTTTTCTCACATCGAGTTTAGCTTTTCCTATCCTTAAATTATGATCTTCTTTCTCCGCGACTATGCTATGACTCAAATGACCAGGCTGAACCTTGACGACACCGTCCATGTGAACAAGATCCGCTTCTACATTAACTAGTTCTTTCCTCGAATTGATTTCTTCATTGCTACCATCGCTCTCTAAAATCAAGGCAGAACCTTGCTCTCCTTTGTCTACGATTCGCCGTGACTCATTGGCACCTGATTCTCCTATCTGGATTATTTCTCCGCCGCCGACTACGGCGTGTCCCCTCGTCGGCCAGCAACATTCCCTCAGCCGCAGTTCGCTAGAACTCGATTGATCAGATTGCGTCATCACCTCGCGATCGTCACTCGAGCCTAAACTTATATCGGCTTCCCTTTGCGTATTTTTACCTCTTACCGCGCTCTCCGACGCTACTTCGCTAGAAGCAACAGGCTGAATATTCACTATTACCCTGCAATCGCCACTCGAACCTAAGTCTACGATTTCGGGTCCCAACTCGCCGCCTACCGTTGACCTATCGCTACCTTCTTCCAATGTCAGTTCGTTAGAATTCGCCACGATCTCGTTCACCGCACGATCTAAATCTACACCCGAGGTGTCAGAGCTGAAATCTGAAAGAGCCTCCCACTGTCCGACGTGAATTTTACCCTTTGACGACCTACGGTCCCTTTTCAGCGCACTCTCGCCGGAAGTCGAGGGACCAGGCTGACGAAGCTTCGCCGCGGGCTCGTCGAGCGGACCACCTACCTCATCCAAGATTCGCACGACACCGTTCTCGCTGGCGACGACGATCTGTTTCGCCTGACCCGGGTACGCCGCTCTAGATGCTACATGCTTGATGTTGCCGTTGTCGGCGGTTAACGCGCTAATGAATTGCTCGCGGGCCTCGGCGGCGCCGACGACATTCTGCAGGTTCCTGCACAGCACCGCGTCCGGAACGTCGACGGACGCGGCGCTCATGATCTCGATCGGGCTCGGCGAGCCCATGGTCACGTCGGTGGGCGACGGCGTTAGGAACGCGTTCAGATAACGGGGCTCTATGTGCAGATAGTTGTTCGCATTCGGCGACGGCAGTTCCAACTTACTTCAGTGTCCAACCAACCAACGGTGTCCCGGCGCGCAGCGTGAAAAAGACAATTCTTTATGGGATATTGTTTTCACACTTAAACTAAGCGTCATGAGCCGATATAAACTGCCGTGTCTTCATAGATATTCGCGCGTCGTGAGTTTTCCGAGAAAACCAATCTTTCATTGGTTAGCGCAATATTATGCAACAGTAGCCCACGACACAGGGATATCTTAGACGTTCGACCCGAGGTTGTGGAAAAAATGTGAGAAAGTATGAAGGATGAGCTTGCGTGTGTATCATAAAGAGGGATGAATAAATAAAATATATTCGAGAACGTTTATTCAATGTCAAGTAAATTATAAGAATCCTTAACATAACATAAAGAGGAAAGAACATAAGAAAATGACACGACATGTCAAGTTCATTTAATATCGCTACCCGTGAGAATTAAATCTTCCACACAGAACAAAATGTTCTGAGATCGTCCTACGCAGGACTTCCTACATATATTCTGGACGATTTTACGATATCTTTGTGCTATCTAGGCTTTACATTCATTATGATAAACAGAATGCAATGTCACGAATAAATACATTTTGTCGGAAGACAATCAGGAAGACTAGATTGAGCAATATTATATAGCGAAAATATTACTGAACTTTGGTTCAAGAATTAAAAGTATACTACCACACATAGTTATACTCTAAGGTTACCAATTACAATTGATATAAAATTGATATAAAAACGTAATATCTTATCTCCGATAAAATATGTAAATTACGTATAAAAATTAATTTTAACTAATTTTCAGCGGGCCTTGTCGAGATATAATAAAAATTCTGTATTCGTGAATTCTTCAAGTTCTTGCGGCAATCAATGCAAAGATTGTGTATCACGTTTCACTTAAAAAAAAAAAGGGTGTCCTATACTTAATTGAACGTCAATTTAACTTAGCTTAATCTAAGTTTTGCGCGAATCGTTGCAAATCTACGCAATTTCAGATATATCCTCATTTTTTCTTGTACTTTCCCGCAAATTGAAAATATTGAAGTAACGAATAACAAAGTGGAATAAAAAAAAATTCGTCGTGAGTAGGACAGAGATGCGTCTAAAATGCTGACTGTGCCAAACAGGGAATTCAAAACTCACATTGTCACATCCGCCGTTTTCGTGTCGTAAATCTCGTTCTTGTAGATATAGTCGATAACGGAGTCCTGTACCAAATATCTGACGCTTTCGCTGCGTTTTAAGGCCCGCCTAATTCGCGTCGAGCTTACCTCATTCGGAATCCATTCGGTCACGATACAAATGTTGTGCTAGAAGTAAGACGAGAAAAGATCAAATTGTGCGATAGTTTAGAATTCGTCGGAACATTATAGTAGTTATTATTTCTCTCGTTAGCATTCCTTAACTTGGTATGTCTTTCTTTTATTGTTCTACACTTCGAGAAAATTCATTCATTTTTCGTTGCGTATATTGAAGAACCTTTATTATATTTGTTATGTACGTTAGTATTAATTAGAATGTTTCATTTTTTTACCATGTGCTTGGATAAAATATCCGAATCGTAGATGAATTTGTTGGGATTAGAACCTTCCCTGGTTATAACTACAAGACCATGCTCGCCAACGATTGCATCGATCTGCAACACAAAGATATCTTACATCTCTATTAATGTTACCTTTATTTTCCAGTAATTATCTAATTTTGCAAATAACTCACATCATCCTCGAGCCAAAGCCCGCAAATACCAAAACTTTCCAGAAGATCAGCACCACAGAGCAGTTTGATCTGTATCGGTGTGTTGTCAGAGCTGTTTCTCACATTCTCCGGTATCCACTCGATATCTTCTATCTGCATGTGATGTTTGATGTCGTTGGAATTGGATAACATGGAATTGAGTAGATTCTGATGGTGCTGAAGGCACAGGCGTGTCTTCGTCCAGCAATTTTGGCTAGTCTCCCATGTGCTTAAGCGAATCCAATCGTTGTTTTGCAACGCTAGTCGCAGCATCTCACATCTATGCGTTGCACTGGCTAGTTCTTTCTTGGCGTATGCATCATGAACTGGTGAAATCACTCCTCCCACAACTATATGTGTACCCATTCGATGCAGATGATCTCGTGCAATTTCTAAAATGTACAGAAATTCTTGCTTTCTGTTCTGATACAGATAGAAATACAACAAAAGTATAGATTTTTTTTCCTAAATCAGTATTCAATTACATTATATACTAGACATTGTTCAAACTAGAACACAAGAACAATTAAGTCTGAAAATAAAATATAAAATTGCGTACAACTTCATCCTCGAATATTGCGCACGAGTACGCACAAAGTAATATAAATGTAAAAGAAGTTAATACGGAGATCAATTATAAAAATTATAAATGCAAATAAATAAATAAAATTTTATCTATTGTTCTACGGGGAAAAATCCCGCAAATACAACATAATCATAACATACACATATGTGATGGATAAAGTTATGTACAATTTGTGAGAGTTTACAAATAATTTTATATTAACAATATGTAAAAATGAGAAAGCATAGCTTAAGGGAACACGACGATAACAATACGCACGCGTAACAGTATAATGTCACGTACGATGGCGAAATATGATGCGACGTAACTTCGATGTTATTGATGATATTATCGGATGGAACTAAAAATAAATCAGTATGTACGTACCGAACATTCGTAAATGCATGTTGGTCGGCGGGTTATAACTGCCGCACGACATCAAAATCACACGCGTGGGCGCCATTTTGCACGCTCACTAGTCGTCGTCGCCGCATCGGCTGACCGCACCTCCGCTGCTTTTCCCGTCAAATCGACCGGGAGTGTATTAAACGATAACGACGACACGTTTGTCACGAATTCGCGCAACCAACTGATCGTACCAGCGGCGAATGCATGAGACAGAGCATGCGCACGTCATACAAACTCAAATATCATCTGAGAGTAGGGATAGCCAACATATGACCGATGAATCGATGTGTAAAACATTTTAAAATGTTTATTTTTTCTTTAACAATGCTTAGACCGTTTTCAGAAATTCGTTCAATTTGTCGTTCTTTTTGCCGTCGAATTTGAGTTGTGCTATTTGAAAACAAAAATTCCCTTAATTTTCTGTTAAATCACATTTTTTGAAAATTTAATCAGTTGTTGAATTTTAACAGTTTGTCAAGTTCGCCTTGCACGTTTTCATGCTGAAAACGTCGTTTTATCTTTATTTCTCATTACATAGTGAAGGAAGATCGAAGACGATTTTTTCAGTAGGAAAGCATGCGAGTTGAACTTAGCCTTGAAAACACGGCTAACTTGTCAGTGAGTCGTACTACCGCCACTTCTCTTTAAACATGGCGCCTCTAACGGAGCTCTTAGAACTAACAAAAAGTAACGGTTCTTTTCACGATACCACTAGATGGCGCCACATAGTCCATTAGCGGGAATAAATAGTTGAAGTGTCGTATTAAAGTTTCTACTATGAATTTCCACAGTTCCAGCAGTCAAAATCAAGTTTCAGGAAATAAATGCATTATATATACATGGACTTAACGTAAAATTCTTCTCAAATCTTTTACCCTTGTCAGAGTTTTGAGCCTAAATATTATAACAAAAGGTAAGAATATATTGAAAATATATTTTCGATAAATTTTTAATTGTAGAATTACAAGATGTATTAAATAAAAGTATTGTTTTATAAAACGTGTTCTCATATATCTTATAATTTCGAAGATATTCACCTACAAGCAATTTTATCGCGTTATCCTCGAAGAGAGTTATTTGAACTTCTTAAACGAAAGAAACTCCTTCTACGAGAAAAAGAGAGAGAGAGAGAGAGAGAGAAGATGTACATGTGGAAAAAAACACGTGTCTTTTATTTTTAGCTGTTGTACATCATATACAAAAGCCCATAAAAATCGGTGAGGAACATTTCCAAATGTTTCCTTGTTAAGTCTAACCTAAGCAAACCGAAGTTAACGAGCGGACGAACGCAGAAGGCAAAGCAAAGGGAAGAGGAGAGAGTCCGTTTCGGTCGGTCGTGCTCGGAACTATTCGGCATAGCGGAAAATGACGACGACGGCGGCGACGACAGCGGCGACGCTGGGTGGCCAGCTGTTTGTTTTGTTTTCGGGCATGAGATTCACGTGACAGCCGGCGGGTGTTGGTGGCGGCACGCGATGACTACGACAACGATTGTTACAGCCGCGCGGATTGGTCAAGGCGATGCGCTTGCCGCCGCTTTCAGCCAATCGGCAGGGCCGTAAGCATGCGGCGCTCAAAGAGAGCGCTGCTGCCGCCGTGGTGAGCGTTTGACATCGATAAATGCGTGCGAGTGCTCGCGAAGCGCGGAGGTGTTAGGCTGTCGCTCGCCCGCTCATTCACTCGCTCGTTCGTCCGTTTGTTCGTACGTTCATTCGTTTGTTCGTTCGAATCATTGTCGCCGTCGCGTTGTCGCCTCACTCGCGTTATTCGTCGTCATCTTCATCCTGCCGCTCGCGTTCGGCATTATTCGCTCGTCCGATTAGCCCCCTTCCCCCCTCCCCGCCGCCACCACACTACCGCCGCTGTCGCCGCCGTGTGCCCCTCCGCCCCTGTGGGAAACATATCTACGAGAGCTAGTAGTGCTGGGCAGTGCTGGTCGTCCACAACAGTGCATAGGCACCGCCGTGTCGGTTTCTCTCTCTCTCTCTCTCTCCCTCTCTCTCTTCCCCCCCTCCCCACTATCTATTTATCTCTATATCTATCTACCTATCTCTATCTTTCTCTGTGACCGCTCTCGATTGCGCCTATCTTCTCGCGTGAATACACGCTTCTTTGTCACGGACCGTGCCAAATGTCATCGGGTGGACCTTAGGCGCATATGCATACGTATGTATGCATACGTAAATACACATTGAGGGGCGTGAATGTATGGATGTGTACGTGTATGTATTGTGCGTGCGTGCGCCGAAGTAGAGAGACATATACGCACACACGTATGTACGGGATGCCCTGTACGCGACGAGGAAGCGAAGGGACCTCAGCTGGCGCATTCTAGTGGACGTTCGGGTAAAAACTGCTACTTCTGTTGCGCGAGAGAAGGCGGCTAGGTCGTCTGCCTGCCTGTCTGCCCAGAAAACATTTTGCGCGTAAATACCCAACAAATCACGCGCGAAATTTTCTCGCAAGCAAAACTGCGTTTCGTCGCTAGCTAGTGATTAGCAACATTTGCGCGCGATACTCAAACATGGAAAAATGAAACGCAAGATCAAAACGTGCGGGGGGGATTGCGCCAATCATTTGCACGAGATTTGCTAGTGCACAGGATAATACGTAGCTTATCAAGCCTTGCGTAGAATATACACGATTGCACATATTTCACGAACAAAACGTAGACGAGGCTTTCAGGCGTAACAAGCTTTACGCGCAAAGATTGTTATTCGGGTACCTTCATTTGTGAATTATCAGCTGGTGCGCGTTGCATCCTGTAACGATCAGTCACGACTCGCATGGCAATAGGTCCTTCCCCCTCCCCGAAAAGTCTGAAATGGAAAAAGTCCCGTACTTACGCGTTACATATCAGAGATGTGTCTTTGTGTTTAATTGCCTTCGAACAATGACATCGGATGTTACGTGACGTGCACGACATTAATGCGCGCGACAAAATGAAGAAATCCGTTTTGTGTACATTTATACTGTCGATGAAGCAAGGGACCGGTTTGAAGGACAAAACGGCCTGTAACTATGTGTTTACATTTTATTGTTTACTACGAGACATTTGGTGTAGTTCTGAAAAGGTCCACCCTCCGATTCTCATGAAACTTAGTGAAATTATTCCAACTAATCCCGAATGAACATGTTCAAAAGATTTCTTCGCGCAAATGAAAATTAAAACAATTGAGTCGTTTGTTTAATTAGATTCTTCTCATTATTCGGCATATAACGAATATAAAAAGTCGTTCCAAGTCACGGGAAAATGAATACGAGATATCTTTCGTATTTTCGTTCTGATCGTAACATGAAAAATAGTCATCAATCGATAACAGAAATAAACTTTTGTCCATGCTCGCGTAGTAAGAAACTTCATTTCCAAGCATATGATAAATCTCTTTCTCGCTCGCTCGCTCGCTCAATCGCCTTTTCTATATTTATCCGTCTATCGTTCCATCTTTCTCTTTCTACCTATCTTTTTCCTCGAGCTGTTTCTGTTTCCGTTTTGCTCTCTCGCTGTTTATTTTCCTCCCATTACGCGACCGCGCGTAGGCGTATTCTCTCTTTCACTCGGTCTCCTCTCTCTCTCTCTCGCTCGCTCTTTCTCTTCGTGCGATGTTTCGCACGGCGCGCATATGTATGTGTGTATGAGTATGTATGAGATGTATATACGCATCATCGGTACCGAGAAGCGCAACGCCAGTGCACCATGGTCATACAAAATACACCAGCCGTCATAAATGCTTTAACGTTCGCTATTTGTGACTCGTGATTGCATTTTCCAAAAAGGAAAGATATTCGTGCGTAGTTTAAACTTTCGACATTTATGGGCACAGGAGGAGAGAGAGAAGAGAGGAATCGGATTATTAAAAAGCACTAAAAAATTATACAAAGCACGTACGGTACTGTATCAAAGTATATATAAGAGTCGCATAATTTTCTTTATCGCATAACGTTCTTCTTTCATTATGTATGCTTAAAAGCAAAACGTCTTGAACACATTTTTTTCGATGCATTTAAGAACACTGCCGATATTTAATAGAAGAATTTATTTTCGAAGCAATTTTCGCAAGATAAATTGTCTTATCGGATATCGAATGCGTTTCTAAATATATCGAAAAAAATATGTTCGAATCTCTCTGTTTTCGAATGTATACGATACATGGGATCGCTGCGAGAAGGAATCTTGCACGTCAACGGCGGTCCTGATAAACGTTTATGACTTTACGGCGTTTATCATTTATGTAATTATATTCTCGTGTGCTTTGGGATACACTTGATGTTTCGTCGAATCGCTAATAGCTGTATTAAGTTTTTCGTTCGAGGGTAAAATTATAAAGGTCAGTTTCAGTAACGTAGAGCGCGACATATCAAAACACTTCAAAAAGATAAAAAGTCGACGGAACGATTAATATTTACTATTCAAGGAAATAGGAAGCCATCGGAGCGGTTAAATGATTAATTATAGTTTTTCAATAAACAATGAGCGCGGCAGGGTTAAAAACCTTTCGAAAGTTACTCGGGTTCATGACCTTGATAAAATACGTCAAAAATCATGGTTTTCGTTTTCCTGTAGGTATAGTTTTACCAATTTCGACAAAATTGCATTCATCTTATAACGTCAAAGTAGTAAGGATGAATGCGACTGTGCATGTGGCTTCACTTCAATCCATTGTCCTCCTCCAGTGTACTCTCGCCGACTAGTTTGAACGGTGCTCGCGATCGGTTTTTTCTCGTCTCTTCTCGCGATCGGCTTCTCTCGGTGCTGTTCGTGAGCAGCTTTTCTCGACAGTGCTCGAAGAAGCGCAGTCAGTCGCGCGGCACTTTCGTATCAGTGACGGTTGTTGTGTTGTTGTCACCGATTACGCTTGCACAGATTCGCGAGAGTGCTCAGCGACCGATAACCGATGATGGTAATCGGCCTCTTCTTGTGATTTAGTGTAATCTTGCGGTGAATGTGGTGATGCGCGGGTGAGGAAGGAGCAGCAGGAAGCAGCGAGAGAGAGAGAGAGAGAGAGACACACAGAGAAAAGTACACCACAAGTGCCGTGGCAGGAAGGAGGAACAAACGAAGAATAGGAGCAGTCCGGTTCATCGCGACTGCGTGGTGAAACGCACTTTTTCACGTGTTCAAAGAGACAGTGGACGATAAAGGAATATACACTCGGACGGGAGGATTCGAATGGAAAAGCGAATTTATTCCTAATCTCGCAGAATTATCAGTTCAACGGATGTGCTAACAACTCGAAAGCGAAGTGGAAACACGTAATCGGCGGGCGAAATTGTCAAGTGGAGTGCGAATCGGGAACGAATTTATCAATCCACGTAAAAATTCGCAACGACAGCTGACTGCAAAGAAGGGATTAATCTGAAATCGTCGTGGATTCTCATTCGCGCAAGTGTCGCTTGAAGGCCCTCCGAAGATCGAGTAAGAGCGAAGCAAAGGAAAAAATAAGTGCAGGACGCGTTTTGCGTATTCTCGTTTATTCGCTGCCGCCATCGCCGTTGCTGTCGCCGTCATCGTTCGCAAAGGATTGGGTGCACGCACGCTCACTCGGTGCGCGTGGTTATCGCTACTCGTGCAAGCTTGGTGCGCGTCGGTGCGTGAGTACGATTACGCAGACCGAAGATAACCGAAGCGCGGCGAAGTCGCCCGAGGCGGCGCGGTGGCCGCGAAGAGAGACCACGACGACGATCGCACTACGTATCTCGCGAACCGCCGCTCCCCCCCCCCCCCCCCNTTTTCCTTCGCATGTGTGTCTATTCTTTGTGAGCGAGTGTGTGTGTGTGTGTGCGTGCGTCGTGCGTGCGTGCGTGTGTTACGTCGCGCGTGGCGCGGGAACGCGCGGGAAGAGGAACGAGCATAAACGGAAGTTGCCAGGAATACGCCAAACCGAGGAAATATGAGCATTGCTGCCCTACTGCAGGCTGCCGAGTACATTGAACGAAGGGAAAGAGGTGAGTACTGACATCTTCTTCTGACCTCTCTTTGACCATTGTCAACGCTGTCGAACAAAAACACTACGGATATTTGCTTATGTATTTGATACGGACGAATAATTAGAGCACCAGTGATGTTAGAAAATAAGTTTTTTCAACAGTGAATAATATATAACGGACTAGTGTAGCTATATTACATTGTTCTTTGACGACGCGATCATTTTATTTGTTCCCTTAAGTAAATAATCACACTCACAATGTTCATCATTTTCAACAAATATACGTTACGAAAGTAAAAATTGGATAAAATTAGGTTGTGTCAGATTGGGGATTAGGGATTAAGTTGGGTTAGGTTTAGGATTAAATTAGAATAAGTTACATTAGATGAGGATATAATCATCGCGTGCAAATTGTCAAAGTCATAAACATGTAAGATGTAAACTTAAGTTGGAGAATAATGATATTCTTTGAAATTTAGATAATGTAGGCTTCTTTCAATATACAATTTGAAAAAGTGCGATTTCTTTGTTTCTGTTGGTTTTTTTGTTTGCACTTCTTCTTTTCCAGTGTCACATGGATGAATTTCTGTAATATTTTCAATATCCTTTTAATAAGAATATAATTTTTCATATATATGATAGGTATATTTGCAATCTTCTAAGTATTCATTATTGTCAAGGAAAAAATCACCTATTACAGTTAATACAAACAGTCTGTCGTAGGTTAATGCAAAATTTGCCAAATCAAAGTGCTTACAATTTACGCGAAGAGCATTGCGCGACGGGAAAGAACAGCGACGTGAGCCTCGCATTCGCAGCTTGTTAAGCTCGTTACAGCGAACGAGCGACGGACGCGCCGACATTAAGTAACGTTTTATTTTCTCGATTCAACAATTCACAGCGGCCTTACAGGCTACTTGAGGGAGTCGTGTGTGATCGAAATACGACCGAATTTTCCAAATTTTTTTTTTCTTAACATTTCGGACACTCTGTTACGAGTTTCAATTGTTATTCTTGAAACTTGTTTGAACGCATGCGCGAAGCGACATGAACCTAATAAGAGTTTCTTAACTTTCAATTTTTTGAATTTCCCGCGTTGCAGTAAGCGTCTATAGCTCGCTGAATATAACCTCACCTCACCAATCTAACGCATTATGCGTTGCAGAAGCTGAACATGGCTACGCTTCAACATTGCCGATACCCGATGATATGCGGACTATTACAAAGAGGCCAAAGACGAAGAAGTCCCAAGGCAGCAGGTTAACATTTGTTTAAAAATTTCTAACGTTTACTTTAAACATCTAATATCTATTTAAATTTCGTTTATGCTTTCATTTCGTTTCAGGATCAAAAATTTTCTAGCAATGACATATGGTCATTTTTGTTATTCCGTTTTTTGTGTTTTCGAGCTTTGTTACTGTTATCATCAGGATTTGGAAATTACGCGTCTTGCGGCCGATGTGGTTTTCCATCCGGGCAGCAGCAGTGCCGTAGGCCGGTAGACTGTTGTCCGTGCAGACAGCGTAATAAGGCATTGTTGCGACAATGTCACAGTCGGTATTCCGTTTTGGCTTCTGACAATAAATTCACGTCTACGGCACTGCTATTCGCTGTTTTCGAATTACCAGCGGATGCCTGAGTTAAAATACCGTTCGTAATTTGGCAGTCACGATTATCGTCGTTCAATTTGTGTTCTAATTGAATCGAGCTTTTACTGCTGCTCGAAGTTATAACGAGTGTTATTTTTCTGCTTTCAGAACAACGCATAACGAACTGGAGAAAAATAGGTAAGTGTGTTTTATAGATAATAATATGAGTCATAAATGATAATGTTTTTTCTCTGTTTTTCATTGTACGATCATCGAAGCAAAATATTGGAAAGATAATTGTTGTAAAAAAGATGAGTCAAGAAAAGTTAAACGTACAGTTGTGATACGCACGACTAATCAATAAACATTTTGATCCCAGAGTTGGACTTTATGTTGACGCATATAAATGCGATGCGTATAAATACTTGAAAAAATGACCCGCAAAATTTAAATTATCTTGGATGAATGTTCTAACGAAAATAAAATACTTATTTATTGGCGAAGATAGGAGAAAAAAATAATAGAGGAAAAAATAGGATAGAGTCACATTTCTAATATTATTATCATTCAGCTGTCTGAAGGTAAAAAAAAGTTCCACAGAATTGATAATATAAATGTGCGTTACAATGTTATGTAACGAAATACAGAATGTAACTGAGAACAGGCTTTTACATTGGCCGTTATGTGTCACGCCACCCCTTGTGTAACTTCCTCCCCCTCCCAACTCTTCCCTTCCTCTATATACACTTCCCCTAACTTATCCCCCACCCTCTCTACTCGCACTCGGGCTGCTTGGGTGTAAAAAAAATCGATAGCCCGCCTGCGACCGTCTTTCGCTTTCCCTTTTTCTCTAAAGCAATCCCCATTCCCCTCCTTTTTTCTTTATGCACTACTAGCTGAAAAACTCTCACCCTCCTCTTCTCCTAAATATCTACGTCGTGTTTATTTTTGTTAAAACACCACCGACTGGAATTCTTTTGCTTTAGTTTGACAGTTTGTTAGTTGAAAAGTTGATATTACGTCATGTTTCGGTTACGTATGACCTGTAGAGCTTATGAGCTTGAGATCGGTCATTTTTATTACTTCAACGAAAAAGAAAAAAGGGAAGGAAGGTAAACTTCATTGAATAATATACTTTACGCCAATGTCTATGCCAATGGCGGCGAGTGTGAAAGTGTGCCGGTGCAAGTATGCATAAGTATGCAGCACGTGCGACGAAAAGCGTGGAGGCCAATGACACTCTGTCCTAAATTTAGCGCGTCGCGCCGTGGAAATAAATCCACGGCGAATCCTTTGCGCGTTCGACTTGTATTAGGCCCATTAATTTCTTGACAGCACACATAAGATCGAGGTTAAGATTGTTTCACGATTATTTGATATCTCTTCTCTCGAGACACCTTACACGGGTCCAGTGTAACACATCCCAGCGTAATGTTACATTGTCGTAATCAATCATCTTACGTCTTACATGAACATTTTTATTAACCAAAAGAATGGTATCTTGGGCAGTTTTTCAAATCGATTACTCTTGAATAAAAGTTCGATCGTCATACGTTTCTTTGACAATTTCTTGATATTTGACATTAATTGGAACATGGGCTTTAACGAGTAAGCCTAAAGTTGAAGTTTCTTGGAAGCATATATAGATCGCAGGAAGAATAAGATTCTGTTATCTATCGACGAACAGATAAGCAGTCGCTCATTTGAACCATTATGCAGAATATCAGATTTTTTCCAAACGGAAGATCGAGCCGTCTGGATGGAAAACGAAAGCTTGACAAATAGCCGCACTAGTGCGAGAATGACGCTGCGAGCGACGCCTAGGGTGGATTCCTGGCCCATTTGAAATGCATTGAATTTTTAAGCGCCATCCTTTGTGCCACCTCCGCCACGAGATAGCCAACTTCCGGTTCAGCTCTCCGCCAGTCTTCGGTCGGCTTTCCATAATTTTGACTCGAATCTTATCCGACTTTGCCCGTAGCTTATTAACCCCTTTGCGGTCGTTATAAAGGCATTACAGTGAAAACTATTTTTGTCGCAGTTAATTAATAATTGGCATCTTCGGGGAGTATTATATCTCGTATACATCGTGATGTCAATTGATGAAACACAAGGACTCACACTTAGGTAAATTTAATCCGTGAACGATCGGATGCACGCGCAGACGCATACAACAGAGTATATCCTCCACGAGAGATACACGGGGCGGGATGCAGGCCGGCTTTGGGGTCAAGGACGACTCGACTGAGTATACCTTGTGCGCACCTCTTTCGATCCTCTAACGTTTGGGAAGACTGACGGATGTTCCGACCTTGGTTATAGTCGCGTTGTAATATCCATCCACAGTACGTATTCCAGAGGTAGATTTAGCACTGAAAAACAATGAAAACGTTCATATGGTAATCGAGTGTTACGTCGTCGCGTTAAAGCCTTACCAACGTATTCATGAAACCTGTAAGTTCAATTTCACGAAAAATAAAGGAACGGCAATAAAACACGACTTGGTTCTCAACCAGTCATTTGTATCATCTACCTACCCGGAGGATATGATCTTCGTGAGAATATTTCACGTGAGGAAAATGTGTCTGGCAGAAGTTTAAGCATATGTGTATTCAGTATTTAATTAGCTTATCTTCTTGTAATTGTTGTTAGTGAACACAACAATCAGCATCGTCGAACGATAATATCGAGCTTTGCTCGAGTCTCAGTCACTAAAGAGCATCACGATTCCAAGGAATTGGAATTCCAAAGAAAGCGAAAACAATGACATATAATTGAAGTTGCAGCGCGTGCTGTACAAATTGTACAACGAGGATGAGTGCAAAGACCGGAATGAGAAGCACTGCCTAAGAGAGAATTCAAGGTGAACGAGCTTCAAAGTGGCGATAGTGAGCTGCGGAGAGACGTAGAGACAAGCGAAGGGCTTGTAGAATGCCCACGCCGTTTGTGCGTAGAAAATACGGGCCCTTCCACCCTCACTGTTTTCCCTATACCTTGGTCGAACAGTCGGGTAAATAATTACATCGACCATGCAGTTTTCACGATCTCATTGCAAATTATATCTCGCCTAGCTCAGCTGGTTCCTTCGCTGAAGATATTCGCTTGGCGGTTCCTCACGTGACTTTAATATATCGTATCTGAGAACCGCAGAATGGAATCGGAAGCGCGTGCACGCGTTTTAATAACCGATTTTTCCTTCCGACACCTTTCTTCGATGCGCGAAGATTAAGGAGATCGCTTTCCGCCATGATGAAACCGGAGAGGTGCCGCGTCACGTGAGATTATCGCAGGGGTGCGCGCGTTCACTCCGTACGTGGATACGATCTCGTTTTTGGATGACGAGCGTCGGCCGAGGTTTGCAACAGCGAGACCTATTATTGTTCGATAATACAGTGCATAAATGCGTACCTGTTGGACGACGGAAATGGCGGCGAAGAGAGGGAAGAAGAAGGGGAGGGTGCAATGAAGATCGAGCATTTATACGCTGACTGGTTTCCCGTAATTTTCGGTGTTATATGAATTGTTTGGCCGGTGATTGGGAATCGCTTTGTGGTCGAACAAAGGGAAAAGGAGAAGAGGCGAAATGGGAGGATGACAACGTGGCGTTAATTATGCGTTAACGGCGTTCAATTAGTATCTCCCCGCCACTTTCCCAGATACTTTCAATCGGTATCTACGAGTACGATTATGTACAAAGTATGCGTGACTACTTCAATTTGATACAAGCTTTTCTCTAATTAGGTAGACCAAGCACACGCATCGATTAACATAATCCCGACGCAAGTATAATAAGAGGGTTAAGAAAGCAATCTGTGTGCAGAGAGGCATGTCATTATCTTAAACACGATCGCTAACCTCTTCGCAAGACAATTTATGATATGTAAACGAGGTTTCCTTATCTCGATCGGATCTTCGATAAACAGAAAATGACAAACAAGATACCATTTACTCGGTAAGATGTGTTTGGTGCAATTATCACAATATATCAACGCTTATCGATCGGACGTGAATTTGATAAGCGAGTCGTTGTCATGTCTGACTGTGATTTCAAGGTGGAGGTCGCATTCGATTTCGAACTCGTTCCTGGGACTGATACTACGCCGGACGGAAGCCAATTCGATCGACCTCGCTTCCATTTCCATCCGGAAGTGAGGACGCGATGAAGGGAAATCGAACGAGAACATTCGCGCGTTATATACCTATGTACAAAACGACGCCTTTCAAGCGTGACAGTTGAATATGCTGCTTTTTAGAAGAGAATTGCAAACAAAAATTGTGACATTTTCCATGAAAAATGTATATGCGTGTCAAAATATATTAGAACATGCACACGTAAATGCACTTACCAATGAATTTAGAAAAATCACTGTTTGTTATTCGCGAATACATCTTTCGGATATCCAACATTAGCGGTAGAATAGGTATGAAATCCCATCGACAACCAGTCCAAAGTTAAATGGTCGTATTTTAGTCGAGGCCATGATCTAATCACGTGATTCTGCAGGCGGGCGATTCGAATCGCTCGGAGAGCGGATGATATGAGTCGAGTCAGCGAAAGCTTGCGCAATACCTGACCTATTGTGCTCGTTAGGGACATTCGAGATCGGCTATTGGACGAAACCTCCTTCCTGCCATATCATCCTACTCCTCCCACTCACCCATACTCGGCCTTCTCACCGCAACGGGGATGACACGAAGTCCTCGGAGATATCCTAGTCGCTGAAAGGGATTGAACCTTCAGGTCCGGGAAACCCCATTTTCGCCACGCTGAAGGACCTCCACCTAATTCTATGGGCCAAGAATCGCAGGATTTAGAGCTGAGGTGCTCTTTGGGGATTCCTTCTTCTCTCCTCATCCCTCTTCCATATCTCCCGCTCTCTTCCTTAACGATCAAGCGGGTCTTGCGAAGCCAGCAAGAACGCTGGGGATCACGTTTTGTCCATAGATTCGCTTTGGAAAAGGAGTCTTATTTAAGAAATTCCTAGGAAATTGAAGGGAAACATGACACATCGGTATATCCTTGCGTAACAATCCTTTAGTAGTGATTTTCGAAATTTTCACACCAAACTTCACTAGTTACAATTGAAGAATTAACGCAACGGTCAATTTTTCTGTCTCTTATTTGACTCTTTTTTTTTGCTTCATGTTGCACGATTAATACGAGTACACAATTCGAAAAGTGCAATGCCAGCTTCTTTCTCTCTCATAGACGTAAGACGGTAGATCTTTATTTAAGTTCTACGCTACTGAGCGCACTCTGTGATGTGTACACCGTGCCGTTGCAATTGCGTCGTCGCAGAGTGCATCGAACCCGAGTGTGCGCAGGTGAAAGTGAACCGAAGGTTCTCTTGTGCATTCGTTTTGTGCCGGACGAGTGGAATAACATATAAATTTTTGCAGATTTGAATAGCTCCCTGAAAAACGAACGTCTATTTTAAAAATAAAAAAATTGTCATCCGCGTTGTTAGAGTATAGTTGAGGAAATACAACGAGAAATATCCCTCTGCTAACGGAATTTTGTTTTTGTCGGGAAAAACTAGTATTGCTATTTCTTGTAATTCTGAAGAAATTTACTCGCAATACTTATGTAAATTATGATATATTTTCGCGATAAGGATGTTTCCTAAATTTGAACGAAAAAATAGAGGAGAAGGGATGAAAGGGTGGTTGAGAACTATTTATCACAGTTGTACTTTTCAGACTGCAGCGAATGTTGCATTTGACCTGGATCGATCTATAAAGACGTTACATATAATTATCGGAGCCCACCTAACGGTCGGACGTGCTCTAACGAGTAACTAACTGTATCGTTCTAGGAAAAAAAGCACATCGGACAAGAAGTTGAGTTAGGTTAAATTAAATTGTATGCGCTTATTTAAAAGTGCATATGCGTCAAAATAAAATATGAAAAAATTCCAGGATAACATTAAGACGTTGTAAAGATATTTTTTTAGAGACAATGAGACGTCTTTTAGACACACGTGTTGCTTGAATTGTTTTAGGAATATTATTTTTGAGAAATAACATTTTTCCAAATAAGAAGTCGCAAAATTCATGAAGTTGACCGAAGAAACGATAACGTAACGATAGTATTTCCTTCTTCTGTTGCAGGAGAGCCCATCTTAGGACTTGCCTCGAAAAGCTGAAGTTGCTAGTGCCGCTCGGGCCTGAAACCTCGAGGCATACCACGTTGGGCCTCTTGACTAAGGCTAAGCGTTTTATCAAGGTAAATGACCGAGTCAATTTGTAAAAAAAGAAAAAAAAATCGAAAACATGTATATAAAATGTCGAGAAAACGCAAAAAAAAAGTAAGTTATTCTTCCGTCCACTTTAGCATATCGCGATTACCTCCAAGGTGTGTCCTCTCGGCAATGTATTGTTTCTTTGTATATGTGCAAAAATTAAGAGATTGGCCGGAAACAATGACACATAGTGTGCCCGGAGAATACTGCAAAGCACAATATGCAAGAGTAAATCCAGCAGCTATTACTCACAAGTGAACTTGGTTGGTTTGAAGAACCTGGAGGACCGTGAGCGCAAGCACGCTATACACAAGGAGCAGCTGTCGCGCGAGCACAGGTTCCTAAGGCGACGGCTCGAGCAGCTGACGAGCCAGACCGGCCTCCACGGCCTTCACGCGCTCCACGGCCTCCACGGGTTAAGCTCGAGCGCGCCGACCGGCTCCACCGCCGCCGCCTCCGCGGCGTTACTGTCCAAGCGGCGCAGCATCTCCGAATGCTCCCTGGGCACGGCGTCCGTCAGTTCCACCAGCAGCTCCCGAAACTCCGACAGATCCGCGGGCAGCCCTTCCGTCTCGGAATCCGGTGAGTATCTTCTCGCGCGTTACCGTCTTCGTGTTTCCAAGTGAGAGGGTGGTATTTGTCAGCATTCACGCATTTATACGTGGACTCGTTACGGACGAATCATAACGGGTCCTTCGAAAGTTTTCTCCAGTGAGGTTCGCGCGGACCATTTCTCACGCACGCCACGTGACCGGATAAGTACTGACTGACCGACCTCTATGACTACACTTTGCATTACGGACTTATTGTAACTGCCTTTATGTTGGAACACATGATTGAAACTCAATCGGAACCGATGGTGCGTGCAAATAGGCCGCATAATCTGTCCGTCCGCCCGGTGAAGCCGGAAGTTGATAGTTTAGTAATTTAGCGCTCTAGCGTTCGCAGCAAGGCCGTTGATTGTTTTTGGTCTACTCGTCCAGATTTGTCTGGAACCAACCTAAGATAGAGTCAGGTTAGATTAGGTTCAATTGTCACGCGTACAAGTTTCGTACCTTTGAAAGGCTTAACTTGGCCCGAGCGAGCTGAAAGTTAATTACCACGGTCGGGATAAATGTTACTGTTACCTACCGTGACTCACCGCCATCACCACCTTCTTTTTTCTCTCTCGTATGTTTCTGATAAACAGTGCAGCACGCAACAGGGTCGCGCTGCGCCATTCGTTATCGTATGATAATGAGAAATGATTAATTGAGAGGGAAACCGACGTGCAATTTATTTTCACCCGCTTTGTCCCCTATAAACATTTGATATGCGTCCATTTTTTGCATGAGAGAAAACGTTGAGCTATGCTTTCGACACCGCACATTCGACGATGAAGAAGATTAAATCAAAACTGTAGAATTTTTCCTGAAGGAACTCTGAAGCCTATCCTTCGTCCTCCTTCCCTGTTTCGAACGTCACTGTTACCTGGACAGGTTGGCGATGTCGGTGACGCAGGGTGGAAGGAGGATGGAGGGAGGAAAGGAAAGGTGGTAGTGACGAGGGCAGATCCGGTTCGTTCAGTGTGACGAGAATAGAGGCATGTTATTGATTATGGAAAAATACCCTCAGCCCAGAGAGGCACGGAGGAAGAGGGAAGGGTGGCTCGCAAGTGTGGTCGACACCCCCTTCGTCTTCTTCGCTGTGGTTGCCAGCGGGTATTGTGGCTATTGTGTACATCCACGGTCTCTATATTTGTTTCTCTTTCTTCGTTTTGTCGTATAACTTTTTCTCCCACACCATTCCTTCTGTTCGTTTTCTTTTTTATTTCGATAGACCATCCGTCAAGGTTTTCCTTTTGCACTAATTTTTTTTTCTCTCTATAAATAGATGCCGCTGCCCTATTTGCTGTCTCCGTTGATGTGTTGCCCACTACGCACGTGATCACATCTTAATTGCTCGAACTTAACGTGATTATTTGTCTTCGTATTCTTCGCTTGCCAATGTCCGGTATCTCGTTTCTACATCGTTATTTCCCTTCGTCTGACGGAATGACGTCATAGTAATGACGCAGAGCACCGTTTTTGTCTTTCCTATCTTTTGGTGGGACTGTGTCTTTTTACAATTTTCCGCCAAATCGCGCGATTTTATAAATATTTTGTATTTTATTATATTTGCGCAGAGATGGTCGGAAAGCAAGAAATTATTTCCTCGATTTCTTTCGTTGTCGCTCTCACAATATAAGGAACTAAACAAGAGTTTATATTTTCTGTTGCAGATGAAGTGGACGTGATTGGTTACACGAGCAACCAATCGGACACCGACGATCATAGTAGCGTACAGAGTAGTAGCGACAGCGGTGTCGCAATGTCTACTTCCAGATTGACCCTTTCCGAGATGATGGACAATCTTTAGGTATCCATTTAATTATCTTCAAGTTTAACAAATATTTTACACTCTACAAATAATGGAAAATATAGACCGAGAAGAATAGTAGTCCTAGCATCGCCTATTATTGAAATTTTATTTTTAATTCCACTTGTTAATAGCAATGTTATTTTTGAAAAATGTTGAAAAATGTCTACTATACGTTACCCATTCTTTTCGGTTATAACCATAAAACAATGATTAAAACTCTGTATTCCAAATATAGGGTGTCCATTACGGGTAGGACGTAAATCGAGAAGAGAGTAAAAAGTGAAAGAAAAGGGAAGACGTTACAGAAGCAAAAGAGGGATGGTAGATGTTGGACAAATAAGTTCTCATGTTGCTTTCTCCATGCTGTTTGCAGACACGGCGCGGTGGTAACAGAAGAAGAAGTTGAAGAAGAAGGAGGAAGAGGAGAAGGAAGAGCAAAAGGGAGAAGATCCATCGTGTACGAAGATCGACGACGCGATCATACACACACAAGATATCGATTCACACACACACACACACACACACACATTCAAGTGCGCACGCATATTATACATATAGAGATTCGTATTCATACAACTTTGTCCTAAAATTGTTTGCAAGGCAACGTTGAAGGAGGTTTTTGAGAGCTCGCTAGTTTGTGTTCGTGATTTTGCAAAGCCGTTCGTAAGGTAAAAGAGCCCAGAGGACGTCTTTCGCCTGATATAAAAGGAAAGAAGAGAATAGAAGAAACGGAAAATCTAAATTTGGCGAAATAAATACATCGTCAATAATTTTCAAAATTTCTCTGCAAACTAAACTAGAATATCGAATAAAGGGGGGTAGGAAGGGACAATAACATGATACTCAAGGGGGATGAATATTGATAAAAGTCAATGACTTTCTGGAAATTGCGAACACAAATCCGAGAATTCGAATACATTTTTTAATTGAAATTCGATAAAATATGGCTCACAACAGAGTGATGGATACTTTAAAACAAAGTTAAGCAAAAAAGAATTGCAAAAGCGGGGGAAGAGAAAAGTGGAAGATACAAGAAGATTAACCTAAAAAGAAGAAAGAAAACATGAAAGACAGGAGAAAATAAAGTAGAGGGGACTAGGAAGATAAGAAAAAAAAAGAAGAAAAAAGTACGAAGGAAAGGAGAAACTTCTACCGAAGAAGGCCAGCGAAATTTTTCGGAAATTGTGAGAATAAACTGTAAGATTCGAACATATTTTCCGAGCAAAACAACAAAAGAATGCGGCATACAATCAAAAGAAAAATAAAAATAAAAAGCAAATTTGAGAAAAAAGGGAAGGAAGAAGTTAATTTTAAAAAAAGAGGAGAAGAATAAAAAACAAATAGAAATAGAGATAGAAAAAGTTACGAAAAAATGTAGAAACCAAAAGAAAACGAGAGGGCCAAAAGAGGCTGAAAATGGAAGCAAGAAGAAAAAAACAAAAAATGAAAGGAAAAGGATAGAATCCAATCTAAACAAAAAACCCAGCTACTTTGTGAAAGATAATATTTCAGAAGATGTGAAAACATAAAAAAACAGAAGAGAAAAAGAGAGGGAGAATCTGAAAGGAGTTGAAAGGAAGTGGAAGAAAAGATCAGGTAACAAGAGTGATTTGGAGAATATGAAGTATAGTGAGAGCGGTTGTAAATTATTGAGCGCTGACGAGTCGCAGCGGCATTGTACATATTTTTCAGAGCAGACAGATTTATCGTGTGAGAGGCGGAGGAAGGGAAGGGGGGAAGCGAAATAGAGAGAGTATGCATGTGAGAAAGAAAGAACGATAGTGTGAAATTGCGAGAGAGAGAGAGAGAGAGAGAGAGAGAGAGAGACAAATTGGAAAATGAAGATTGCAAAAACGCTAAATGAAAAAAATTACGGAGAGATTTTTTGTTTCTTTACAAGTTTGGTACTCAATTTTCGCAAAAAAAAAAAACATGTAAAAACCATTTTAAGACTCGACCACTTAAACGTGCACGTTTTCAGTTTAGTGTTTTGCACTAACGCTAAAAATTTATTTTAAGAATTTTAATTGTTTAATCAAACTCCTGAAATTTCGTCGTTCTAAATTACATGTATCTTTCAACTAATTCCGCGATAAATCTGTGGTTTAATGTTTCTAAAAATTAACAAAAAATTTAATAATATTCAGGGATTTGCTTTACGAAATTAGTTGAAACTGATTAGTCGAAGCTAAGTTTGTAAAGTAGAATTTCTGAAAAATAAAAATTTCCAGTTTTATCAGAAGTTGAACTATCTTTGGAAATATTATGCGAAATTAGTTGAAAGATTCAGAATTATTTATGATACAGTCCGCGGAGTTTAGAACGACAAAATTTTATTTATTAAAAATTATTTGTTATATATACATATATATATATCTCGGATGAATTATAATAAAATTATTCTGCAAATTTATCAGCAAAATTGTTTATTCTATATTTGAAATTCAGAAATTATACGCATTATATGAAATTAACTGTAATATGTTGAGGTAGTTATAAAAAATACGAAATTATTTTTATAGTATAAAATTATCTTTGGAATGAGAGAAATTACTTAAGAAAATTACAAACATTATTTCGGTAAAGTATAAAATTACTTCCGAAATTAAAGCGCGAGTTTCGAACGTTTGTTTAAATAAACAAGCTCCAAACTAAAATAAATTCATTAAATAAATAAATCCCGCGCCGTCGTTATCTTTTGGTACGAGAGAGAAAAAATATATAAATTTGCGAAAAATCGACGTGTATAATATATGAATGAAACGAAATAGAAGATGCGAAAGAAAGTAGGACGATGAAGGAAGGATGGCAGGAAAGAGAAAAAGACTTTTCTTGTGTCGCAAGAATGATAAAAGAGGAATAGCTAACTTCTCGATAAATAAACTTCAATTAATTAACAGACTATAACGCTGATTCATACATAGACGAATAAACGGACGCAGACACACACACACACACACACACACATACATATGCGTTTAAAAAAACAATGTACACGTACATATATATTAAGTTATTATTCTGTAATTAAGTAAACGAAACAAAGTATAAAAGGCAAAAAGTTAAACTGATAAACTATATTATGATAAGTATGACGTCTCTATATAGGTAAATATATATGGACGCCATGACATACACACACTCGTGCGCTTGTGTGTATGTATACATATGCAGGGTGTCCCTTATCTCTAACATATAAATATAAAAAATAACAAACAGAAAATTAATTACATAAGAAGCCATTAGTGACTTTTGATTATAGATAAACTTGTTAATAACAAATAATTCAAACTTTCTTGTCAACGAAAAAAGAACAGAAAAAGAAAGGAAGAATATAAAAAATAGAAATAACTTCTATGCGGGTGATTTGCCTCATCTTGTGTTACTGATCATATAAAGGTAATAATTTAAGGAGAACAAATTCTCTTAGAATTTTTGGCACTTAAATTGAATTGAATATTTGTTTAATGCGGCTTGTATTATAAAAAGGGAAAATAAGAATGTCAAGTGTAATGTTGGAATAATTATTAAACAAAAAATATATTGTGAAGAAATTCTTAATTTAATTAATAATATATAATTGAAGAAAACTATCGAGATTCGAGGGAAAATTACAAAAAAGACAAGAATAAGGGACACCCTGATGATATATACATTCGAAAAGTACAAATTTCGAAAATCCCTCGTAGGTTCTCGGAATGTTTTGTTACATCCCTTTTACGTGGCGTGTTTCTTTTTTACGGGAACGATCTTCGACTATTCTCTAAACTATTCTCTTGTTCGCGGATGATGTAAAGCGAGCAAAGCATCCAGAGTGAAAAGGATCAAGATCGGTATCATTTCGCTAAATTTGTAACTAATGCTTTCAAGTTGCACAAATGTATTTGAATTTTTAGGTGAAAATCAATGTGACATTTCTATCGATATTTGTTCAATACACGGAAAAATCTGTGTTTATATTTTACGACTATGGAATACAATTAGTTTTGTATTTTAACGTGCGTTAACGCAAACTTTAACAAAGATTTTATACACACTTTTCGTAGAAATGTAAAGAGATCTTTAAATTTGGTGATTTTAAAATAAAACTCAACATGATTTTCGTATCAATTTGAAATTAAGCTTAACAAAATTACCAATCTCGATCCTTATTTTGAAGAAAAATATGATGTTAAAAGAAATGTGGTTCTTAACGAAAATTGAAGGAGCTCACGACTTGAGAGACAAAAAGCAGAAGAAAGAACGAAATATTTCTCTCGTAAGATCGGATTCGGATGAGACACGTTAATGGATAGACTGACTACTAAATGCAACTGGTGATCTCTGAAGACGGATGTTACATTGTGGGCCAGAATTGGCATGACTGGATGAGCGAGCGAACACATGTCGAAAAAATATTCCCTCCCTGAATATTGAGTGCACACGCATACACATTTCGATGAAAAAACGAAGAAACAGCCAACGGAAGAGAGACAGGTGTGAAGGGATGATAGAGAGTAGAACGGGGAAGGGCTGGCTGAAAGATCTCGAGATCAAAGAGCAGAGTCAAATCCCGCCGATAAAGCGACCAAGCCAAGCGAAATAATTTCAGTGAGGCACGCCGCGCAAGTTTTAATACTGAATATATCGATTGTTGTATCAACAATCGTCTATATATAGCGCTAAATCGCAATCATATTGGTTGTTGCACGAATCTATTATCGCGGCGAACACCACAATTATTAGAAATGGCGGGGTTTGGCGGCGACTAATGTGATATGCGATCCCGCGCCTGTCTTTCGACGAAAAATCGGCATTTTCATGTTTTTCCTTCCCCTTTGTGTTGAAAGAACTTTATAAACTTCCAAGTGCAGAAATTGGATATGAAGATATATTTGTGGAAGTATCGTTATTTATTTCGTAATTTTCCTGAGATAATTCTTGGAATATTATTTGGTTTCATAGCTATTTCTAAATTATACGAGAGGGAATTTAAATAAATTATAACGATTATATATCAAATTTTCCTAATCTAAACATTTCTTAAATTAAAACAAAATTTTTTAATTAGAATTTGTAATTGAAGATTTAACATTGAATGTTTATTATTTTAACATGTACAGAATATATACAGATTTAAAAGAAGGATGCACACGAGATATAATAGAAAATTGAATAATTATTTTAATTGCGTTAATATAATCGGAATTGATGGTTTAAAACTAGTAAACGAAAAGAAATAGATAACGTTGGCTGTCGTTTGTCTTGTCACCGATTATCAAACGAAACATTAAAGAAACTCGAAACAGAAGTGATGTCGTTGGTCTTCGTATACTAGGCGATGAAGAGAAAAACGACCGAAATACGCAAGAAACGAGGGAACCAACAAAAACTATTACCAAAAACCAAAAAAAAAAGGAAAATGATATAATAACAACAAAAGTAAACGAGACCTCTGCGTAGAGTTTTAACAAAGAAACCTAATTAGTTAATTAAAGTCGCGGAATATTGTTGACAAATTTTTTTCCCGCGAAATGCACAATACGGGTTCAGCGAGAAAAGATTACGTTTATTGGAAATTTAAATATTACGAATATTACGTGCGTGTGTATATATATATACACATGCAAATATTGTTATAAGCGGAAATCATTTGGCTGTTAAATTAAACACGTCTTAATTTTTCCTTTTTTTCGATGATTCGACAAAAATATAAATCGAAAGGCAACAATATCTTTCCAAGCTATAACAATTACGACGACGATTGAGATTGTTAACAAGGTAAATTCTAATATGGCTTATGGAAAAGAGTATTGATTTATTTTTATTGGGTAGCTCTACTGATTCAAGGATGAACATACCTTGAAGATCGCGGAATCTTTATAACGTATGTCAAAGTGGTACAAAAGATTAAATTAAACTAAATATTTATCGTACTTTCAAAATTATATTTGAAATATATCCAACAGTTTCAATGTAATTTTTTATTACTTGAAAAGTTTGCAATTTGTCTAGTCTCTGCAGGAAGTAATCGGTAACATTTGTATCGCGATCACTTGCAGACACCTAATATCACTCATTGAATCTGATTTTGAATCAAATATTTGATTTATTATAAGACTTTTTTTACTAAATTAATTACTACATATTTGATATATTAAATAATTAACTGGTGATAGAGGAGAAAAGGGGTGAAAGAGAAAGAAGAGAAGAAAGGTGAAATAATGGAAAAGAGAGAGACGAACGATGCGAAAAAATTATGTTAAGTATAAGAATCGAGAGAATTGGAATGAAGGAAAAAGAAAGGAGAAGTAATGAAGCAAAAGATCTACAAAAAAAGAAAAAGAAGAAGAAGCAAAAAAGAAGATATTAAAAAGTAAAGAAAGAATGATAGAGGAATGATATAGAGGGACAAATGAACGGAGAAGGATGGAGGACAGGACGAGAAAGGAGTGTAAAACAAAGAGAACAGAGGGAAGATGATTCGGGGAGCATCACAACGTAGCAATATAAAATGATCCAGTATCGAAGTTCTACGTCGAAACTTCGTATTAAAGCTGACAAAACGTACGATGAAAATCGAAAAAATACGTTAAAAATCTAGTCACTAGATTAAAATCCAGTTATATTGATTAAAATTATAATTGCGTAATATGATGTTGCTTTAAATGCTCATTTAAATATCTAAATAATCAGAGAGCGACCAATAAAAACGTAAAAATCCAAAATTTGTCGTCTCTTAAAGTTGTATAAAAAGAAAAGAAAACAACAGAAAACTTTTGACAAACAGCGATTTCCGCGGTACCCAAGTTTTGCATTAGCAATCTTTACACTTGTTTCTTTTTCTAGTATCAAGAATAGTTACAAGTTTAAAGAGAATTCAAAAAATTCGTAATGAAGCAATCCTAAAATTCAGATCGGTAAATATTAGAATTGAAAAGTCGAAAATCTCTTTAAATATTTATTTAAATATTAAGAAACTTATATAAATTATCACTCGAAGATCAATAAAGACGCAAGAATCCAAGATGTATAATTGGTTGAGGTTTTGAAGAACCAGCCAGTCAATCAAAAAATAACCAATAACATCTTTGCAATAGTAATATTCGCAGCTCCCAGTTTTTTCACCAACGGACGATATTTTTTTTTATATATAAACACGAAAATGTTAACGTCGAGGAAGATACCTCGTGCAAAATACAGCTTATACAGAGCTTTTCAAGTGACGTGTGCTGGAAATGAAGAAAAGTAGAGGAGGAAGAGGCCGAGAATAAATACAAATAGTAATGAAAACAAAAAATGGGTGTTATTTTTAGATGTCTATTAGATTATCAGGAGTCAGAAAAAAAGTTAAAAGATAAAAAAATGCTTAAACAAAAAAAAGGAATAAGAAATAGGAAAACTTACTATTAATACACTACTGCTATTACTACTACTATTATACTATAACTATTACTACTATCGCTGCTACTACTACAACTACTACTACACTACTACTACAGTACTCGTAATAAGGATTTAAAGGTCGTAGGTAACTTAGGTGACGTGATTTTTAGGGCGCAGGATGCGAATTGGATTTTAATATAATTTCAATTAATTCGAAATAGATTTCGATGAAATGTCATCGATTAAATTCGTATTTGTAATCTCAAATAATGCAAGTTCGAATTTAATTTGAAATTATTTCCAGCATATTGAATTCGAATTGAATCTCGATAAATTTCGAATTAAACTTTAATCTATAATTTTGACGAAAGACGCGAATTAAATTCGAAATTAATATCGACTAATAGGATTTCGAATTAAATTTGAATTGAATTTCAGAGATGTACGAAAACGGGATTTGAATTTAATTTCGATCAATCCAAGTTCGAATCAAATTCGGATTTAATTTGGACAATACGCGCACGAGTTGAGTTTCAATTTAATTTAGATTAAACCAACGTCGAATTAAATTTGTATTCCGACAAATATATGAATTTAATTCCGATCAAAATCCACGATATATATTCTCGATTTTGAATAAAATTTAAATTTAATTTGTACGAAAAACATTACTTTCGAGAAAACTGTTCCTCTTTTCACACTGCACAGGTTGAAATCCAATTAATATTTGCAATGATTTACGCGATTGATTATATTTTTAAATTCGCCTTCTTTTAATATAAAAATAAAAACACTTAAAAATTCTTACCGCCACATCTTTGATAAGCACGAGAGAATACGAGTGGGTAAATACTTACAAGTGCTAGAGTATATAAACAAAAATATTTATTGTTTATATTCACAGATCTTAATCTACTTTTCTCCAATTTCAAATGGGCTACTTAAGGATTTTTTATCGCTATACTATATATAATAGCTATCAGAATTGCTCAAGTCTTGTGCAGACGCGGCCAAGAGGAACAACTCGAAAACCATCCGGAAAACAATCGGAATTTTTTTCTTTATCGTTCGGCGTTTTGTCGCTTTCATTGTTTAGATGATCACTGTTCGAAGAAAGGAAGGCGGCAGGAAAAGGGAGATATGTGCTGAAGAAATGAGCGCTACAAAGTTTTTTCTGAAAGGGGTGAGAGGGGGGGGGGGAAGAGGGAGGGTAAGCGAGGGAGAGAATTGCGAACTTCGCGTGGCGATACTCCTTCAGATGAAAAGTGCGGTCCTTTTCTCGGTCGTTGTTGAACCACGCGAATCCTGCACGAGAACATGAGACTCCTTCTCACCTTCTTCTCTCCTTCGCCGTTTCTCATCCTCTCCGCGAATTATGATGACACGTTGAAATCAAGATTCCGAGAGAATAACTCTCGACCGGCACGGCAGAGAATAAAAATACAAACGAAGAAAGAAAGATCATAAAGAAATAATGAATAAAATAATTGAATATGAAAGAAAAACCAAGGGATCAGGAATAAAGAGATAGAGACGTAAAAAGGAAAAAAAAAAGAGAAGATTAGAAGATATAGGGGAACGATTGATAATAATAGAAGATGATAAACGAGGAGAAAAGTGATAATAATGATGAAGAATGTTCTCGTTAGGCGAGATACTGGGGGTCGTTGCGAAATCCCGTCGACTTTTGCGTCTGTAACTCCCGGCTTCAAGGATCCAGAAGTCTTCGGGTATTGATGATCGAAGAATTCGAAATCTCTAACAAGAAAGAATATTTCAGAAGCAAATAAATATAGAAGAGATTTATCGTGTTCGTACAAAAAAAAAAGAGAAAAAAATAATAACCTCGCCTTACATTTGCAAAATTTTGATTTCATCAAGGATTATACAGTATTCTTTCGTTGAGGATTAAAGAACCCAGAGACTTTAGGATCTATCAGTCTGAAAGTTCGATAAACTTGGATCCGAAGGTTTCATAATATAACAATTGAAAAAATCAAGGGCCCAAGTATAGAGAAAGTCCAGAAAAATGCAAGGTATCCAATGTATCAAAGGATCCTCAAGGATCCAAAAGCTCTATGGATCTATACCAGAAAAATAAGGACGTCTCAAGGCTCAGAGATCCTGGAAAAAGTCTAGCTCAAAGGATCGAAAAGATCTTCAAGGTCTTACGGGGACAAAGTTGAAATTGAAAGATAGAGATGTCTCATATGACACAGTGATTCAAGGACTAATCTAAAAAGGAATCGAGGATCCAAGAGTATAGATTTAAAGTAAGAAAACGAGGTGGACTCAGGAATCTATAGAGATTAGCCTGGAAAGATCAAGAATCTAAGGATAGGGGTTTAGAGTAGGAAGATAGAGCGATTTCAGGATTTGAAGATTTAGAAATTAGTTTCAAAAGAGCAGAGATCACAGGATCCCAGAGTCGTGAATTTAGAGTAGGAAAACGACGATTTTCAGGACTCAGGGATTCAGAGATTAATACAAGAAATTAATAACCCAAGGCTATGGATTTGGAGGATGTAAGCTGGGATAATCTCAGAGAAATCGAGAATCCAAGGATCTCAAGGTTACGCACAAAAGTCGTCGGGTGATTATTGTTAATAAATGCGGCGCGAACAGAAGAAGAAAATAAATAATAGCGTCGAAAGGTCAAATCATTTTAATAAGTAAACTAGCAACAAGGTAAGAGCGAAAACAGCAGCAAAAAATGTAAAAAAAGAGACAAACTGTAATGGGTGTGATGAAGCGGAGTAACCGTGATTTGGACTAATATACTCGTTGATTATTTTCCTTAGCTCAGATTAATGACAATTTAACAGCGCCAAATGATATTGTACCTAGAGACCCTGTAGTCACGATCTAGACTAAGTCTTGGACAGAGATTTTAGCAAATCGTGTAATCAAACTGTTCGAACCGTTTGATTATCTGAAAATTTCAAGCACTAATGCGAACACTAATGGATTATAGATCGAATATAATGTATTCCGGCATGGTCTACAGTGTAACGTGGAATTTCAGATTGAACTACGGAAGTAGAACAGTTAGCAAGACGTCAAAGATGTCCGGACTCTGACTGAAGGGTCTCTAATTGTATCGAGTGCTTGTACAACTCAAAGATTTTAAGTTTCGAATATCAAAGTACGTTCTTGTCGGTTGTTCGAAATAGGGTGAAGTGAACTTAGATCAATATTTCATTTGTCGTACAAGTTTGTTGAACGTATCTCATCGACTGTTAAATAAAGAATTTCTGAAATTCTGAAAAGAGTCATTACGTTCAATAAAGTTATCGTATGATAAGTGAGATATCAACTTTTAGAAGATGTGTAGAAACATTCCCACATAAAATAGAATCCCTTCAATTGTAAATACAATGGGTTCACGTAGCCGCGTTATCCTTCTGATTCGTTTTGATCCAGCTAATCTAATTTTATCTAACCAACCATAAAAGATATTCTGGAATATTCGTATGATACATTTCACCCTATGTCAGCCAATCGAGATGTGAAGAAAAAGAGAGAAGGAAAAAAATAAGTAAGATGGAAATAAATAAATGAATGTAATATTATGATGTAATGTTTAAAACAATGCTCGGATATTATACCTACTGTTCTGCTCTTATCACTCGTGTTTAGTAATGCATAAACATATGTGAATTCACACTTGGAAAAAGTTCGAAACAGTAAGCGTGATGTCAAAAAATTACTTCCAATGTTTAACTAATCACGAGCGCTGGTTTAAACAAATACGAATGTGTGGACGGGGACGACTTTAATAAACGCGGCTAAAACTTGTCTTGAGTGAGAATTTCGAAGAGAAACGAAAGGACGGTTAAATCAAGTCAAATCAAGCGAAAGAAAATAAGATTATCGAGCGGGACATCACGGATGGTTACAAGTGGACGGGGTGAAAATGATGATGTTAGGAGATAAAACAAGTCCTTTAATCCTAAATTGCTAGCCATTAACCGAATCATTATCCATGCTTCTTGAGAAAACATCGGCCTGGAAAAGGCTAATGGTTAGTAATTCAGTGTTAAATATTAAAAGAACGATGTTCGCCTTATCGCGATCACTATTTCGGAGTCGGCGTGAAATTGCCGACGGGAATGTTGAAAAAAATGTTATCGGCATCTTAACAAAGCGATCGCAGTCAATTGTGTGAGTTGCGAACGATGATTCCGAAATGACGAAAATTCGATCGGTGTGGTTCGATTGTGAGAAATTGGGGAAGCATTTCTGTCAATTCGTCGACATTGTCGCGGATATTTGGTGATCGATAGATGGTGGTGTACGCTTGGATCAAAATAACACGTGGGGAAAGATTTATCGATCCTTGCGATTTATTACTGGTTATACTGATTAGTTGATTGCTGTCATTGAGCAAGACGAAACGACAGTTAGAAAGAGAAAGAAGGGCAACCACCACTTATTATATATTATTGTACATATTTACTTGTAACTGCTATTCGTATCGCAGAGGTTTCTGTTCTCTAAAGATCATTTCCTCGATGATTCAGCGGGAAGAAACGGAAAAAAATGTGAATAAAGTTAGATTTGTGTATTATTTAACCGATACCTCCTGTTGTTTCAACCTTTCAAAGAAGCCACCATTGTATTGGCTCATCTATTTAAACGCAAAATTCCCAACATGTCCCTATTAAGTTAAAAAGTTATAATGGATTGTATAAAATGTTAGAGGAATATAATTAGGATTACTTTGTGATACTTTCGTAGTCATCTAATATCTAAGTCTCTCGGATTCAGTATCGAGTCGTCCCGCTTGAAGTTCGTTTGTGGTTGTCTTATTATGATCTCGATTTCAAATGAAAATGGTGGCAGCTCGTAGCGGAAAACTTTGGAACTAAATACAAGGGGTCTTTTAGTAAAGATTCGGACCAATTTTGCTAAAACCCTTTTGGCTACAAGCTTTTTGTTCATACCGCTAGATGGGACCAGGGAATCTATTAACCGATTTTTACAAAAATTCTTACGTTTATTGAATTGACATTTCTAGAACAATTGAAACTTTTTCTCTTTCGTAACATCATTTCACATATGAGACACTGGTTTGATATCCAAAATATTTAAAGCATTTTCCAGGACAACTCGCAGCGCATGCAACATGTATAATCTTGCGAACATCTTTGGAGCGAGGGGGGCACTTCCTTTCTGGAATTCATAATAAAAGGTAAAAACGATAACAACTAATAAGCATAATAAATATGTAAAAAAATAAAAAGAGTAAAGATAAATCAATTTTATTCAGAATAATACTATAAACCATCAGGAAATAGATACTGTTGTCTCTTACTGTCAAAATTTTTATTTTCCGATAATATGAGCTGAATTTCTGGCACAGTCGTGACAAAAACAAGCATATTACTTGCGGATGAATCTGAAAATTTGGCTCGCACTTTAAGCAGTTTTGTAGCATTTGGGTATATCCAAATATAAAATTATATACAAGTTCCCATTCTTCCTAAAAACAGATAAAATGCTGCAGTAAGTCATATTTTAATACAACCTTCCAGGTTTTGAGTATATAACATTGTTATTTTCGACAGTTTAGAAAAGTTTTCAACCTCATGATGCAACTGCGAAAAATCCACATCATCGATATTCGGTAGAGGAGGAAAAATTTTACATAAGACCTTCAAATCGTATGTTGCTACAATCTTTGATATCCTGGCAGTGTTGTACAACACAAATAATGCACCTAAGACATTTATGTAATGTCTAATCATCAATACAAAGACAACTTTTATTATCATATTGATATCACTATCAATAAGAAAGATTAAACAGAAAGAAATATTATTCATGACTTAATTCGACAGATAAGTAACTTTTAAATGCGTATTATTAAGAATATAATGATTCACTGATAAAATACCTCTTGTATTTGTGATGTATCTATCAGACTTAAAAATATCAGACTCTATAACGATTGATCTACTGGGCTTTACAGACATTAACTCAAAGGTCATAATAGCATAAGCCATATTGCGCAGGATGAAATATTTCTCTATATCACTTTCGTCCTCTTTACAATAACAAAACATATTTTGATAATTATTATTCACATAATCCATTCTATCTTTTATGCATTGTTCCCATGTGAGGTGTATTTCCTTCGTGTTAGACTCTAAATTCTTCACGACGCCGCAAACATATTTTTCATATCCTTTCTCAATCAATCCTTCGGATCTCGTTGTAAATATATATTTGCCAACACAATCTTCATCAGATACCCTGAATTTCATGATTGATTTCATCAAATCACATTGGATATACAAGCATAAGCATCTTTAAATGTTCATGTAATTAGACTGTTCAAGAAAATTTTTTGGACAAAAATTCAAATCTAACTCAGTGCTACCTGTATCCATGTAGATCCAATACTTTCACTGTAATATTTCTCAATAGACTTAGTCTCTGAGTAGTGAGATCAGATTGGGTATCAGGCTGATATTTTAAATGAAATATTTTATTATTCGCGGTAATTCTTCCGAACGTATTACTGCACTTAACAGCTGCTTTAATGACATTTGGAATAACGTCCATACGATTCAGATACAGACAGACCTTTTCCTTCTGCAATGAGCATTTTTGTATCCGTATATACCAGTCGCTACTCTTAGATATTAACTGTTCAAAAACCTGTTAAAATTCGAGAAATCTTCAGTCCCATATTTAATTTTTTATTGGAACAGTAATCATGTTTAAAATTAGGTTACGTAAGGTTAGGTTGAAATGTTTATTTACCTCCTCGGATACATCTGTGTCCGTATTATCTCTTCTTGAATCATGTGCGTGTATAAAGTGTCGCAAAATTGTGGTGCAATTTCTATCGCAAAAAACAAAACTTCTCCACGCGTTAAAACTATTAATAAAATGTAATTCTCCGTTTATCGCTAAATTTTCGGTGTTTATTTTAATAACTGAGGAATTCTCGCATGCATTGCCAGTTAGATGATGCACAATCTTGTCGATTAGCGGTCTACCGCAGAAATCTGTCCGATTTTCCATTGATAATTGTTAATTGATAAATAACGTTCGTTACTCTTTCTGACAAGACATTAACAAGCGTTGACCGATAACAGACTTGTTTTCTATTTTTACACTGGGACTGCACCAATCCTAAAGCCGGGTCTACAAGGTAAGCCTCGAGCTGTAAAAGATTGACCAATCAAAATCGATTATTCCTCACGCATTCTTCTCATATTCAACTGCGATTGGTCGATTTCTTACAGCTGTATTGTTGTACTATGATGCTAAGGTTACATCAGTACACGTGCTTCGTGCACACACATTAAATAGTTGTTCTTAGCGGCGTTTATTCATCGATTGTATAACGACATTACTCTGAAAACTAAAATCTCTTACAAGTTTTACAATCATGAGTTTTTCCGTGTACGAGTCATACGTCGCTTTATGCAACAACGAGCGTGTGATAATACACAATGTTGAAAACGACGCTGAAAATGTTATAATCTTGCCTGATCTGGAGTCGAACAGCAAGATAGACGTACACAACAATGTAGACATCGAGACTTATCACATGATAACGTCTGTGACGTTCTCAGAGGATGGAAAGTATTTTGCAGTGTGTGCAAATCGCAAGCAACTATGCCTGTATGAAACAAAGGACATGAAGCTTCTGTCTAATCGAACACTCGTCAGAGCTGCAAGCAAGATAAGGTTCTCTCCAAACAACGATATTGTGGTCGCTGATAAGGCTGGGGATGCTTATTTATTCTCCAGCAGTTCTCCGATGGAAAATGGTGCTCTAATTCTTGGACACTTGTCAATGCTCCTCGATGTACTTATTACACAAAATATGAAGTGTATTTTGACGACTGATAGAGACGAAAAAATCCGGGTTTCCATGTATCCTAACTGTTACAATATTGTGTCTTACTGTTTGGGACATGCCAAGTTTGTGACAAATATTTCCGAATTATCTCATGACAAGAGCATATTGATATCGTGCGGTGGTGATGGAAATTTAAAATTGTGGGACTACAGGCATGGAACTGAATTAATGTCTGCAAATTTCGCCGACAAAATATCAAAACATATGGTTGAGAAATTTAATCGAGATCTTCGTGACAATTATTACGACGAATGCGTAGATGTATTGCCCGTCAAACATATGAGAGTATCTCATCTTGATGAAACGGGATCTTTGGTTGTAATAAGTTTCTACCGGAGCGAAGTATTGTTAATTTATAGCATTATTAGTAAGCAAGGAACACAATTGAAAGTTAATTATTTGGAATCCTTATCTGTAGAATTCGAACCAGTGGATTGTGTTTTACACAAACAAAACTTGTGGGTATTAACAGATGTAGGACTGAAAGTGTACAAATTCCAAGATGATAGATTCATTGCTCATGATGCTTTGAATGGCACAATGAAGCGTCTTAATAACTCCTGGGGAACTTTAAAAGATATTAATATTAAGCAGAATTTCTTTCCTGTTTTATACAAGAGGAAATACGATAATGTACAGGAATATTTTGAGAGGAAAAAAATTCGTCTCGCGGCTAGCAATACACTGTAAATATTGTAATATTGTTTTTAGAAATGTTATAAATACATCAATTGTTTAACACATATTTCATAAAATGTGTAAATAAACATTTGCGATAACCGAAACCTGTCTCAATCATTGCAGATGTATATATTTTAAATTAATGATACCAGAGACTGCGTGCCAATAATATCATACAAGTTTGTTCGCGTTAACGCTTGTATGGTTTAAGTTGGATCACATATAAATCAATGAATATATGACAGAAGACATTTAATATATGTGTCACTTTCGAAATATAAAATCGCAATTTAAACAGGCTTGTAATCTAGCTTGGATTCCAGTTTTTTGTTGTCAGAAACCTTTCTGACAGCTTTCATAAAATCTTCCTGTATTACATATTCTCTTTCTAATCTGATCGCAAATAATCCTGCCTCTGTGCACACATTTCTTAGATCAGCGCCGTTGAATCCATCAGAAAGCTTGACTACTGCTTCGTAATCTGTGCATTCAATGAGAAGCACTATTAATATGGTATTCATGTACATTGAGCATGTACAAGACACAAGCATCTTACCGATTTCACCATGTTTGGCTATTGGCAAGGCATGTATTTTCAATATTTCCAGACGAGCTTGCTCGTTTGGTAAAGGTATCTCGATTTTTCTATCTAGTCTCCCAGGCCGTAATAACGCGGGGTCCAGAGTGTCGGGCCTATTTGTAGCCATTATCATTTTGACTTGACCCAGAGAATCAAATCCATCCATTTGATTTAACAATTCCATGAGAGTTCTCTGGATTTCTCGATCCGCGCTAGTTCCTTCCGAAAATCTGCGGCCACCTGTACGTAAAATTGCGGTTCAAATTTGAGTAGTTCGCTATAGATATTATATACTCACCAATAGCGTCAATTTCGTCCATGAATATGATGCATGGTTGATGATCACGAGCATAATTAAACATTTCTCTAATCAATCTGGCAGATTCTCCGATATACTTATCAACAATTGCACTTGACACAACTTTTAGGAAATTTGCATCTAACTGACTGGCCACGGCCCTCGCTAGTAATGTTTTCCCAGTACCCGGGGGACCATACAGCAAACATCCCTTTGGGGGAGTGATACCGACTCTTTGGAAAAGTTCAGGATTTAATAATGGCAATTCTATAACCTCGCGCAGTTCACGTATTTGTTCGCTTAAACCACCAATGGCAGAATACGTGACATCACCAGGATCTTCGTGAGACATGTTGTAGACTAACGGATCAACCTAGAAAGAAGCAATAAGTTTTATAACACTAAGATTTATAAGAACTGATATTTGCTTATACAGTTCCTTACTTCACGTGGTAGATAGCGCATAATTGTAAGAGTTGTCATATCCAGAGCAACTCTGGTTCCAGATTTCAGTTTGTTTTTATCTAACTGACGCCGACAACCAACAACATAGCGCGGACCATTGGTTGCTTTCACAATGACTGAAAATTGTACAAATAATGATTTTATTCCGTGCATATTTACAAGGATACGCGTATGAGGGTCACATATGAATGGATTACTTACACTTTTCCTCTGTAAGTTGTTTCAGTACCTCTCCAACAATCTACAATATTAAAGAAGTAATTGCAAGACAGATATTGTACGTGCTAATAATTATATTTTAATTCAGTTAAAACAGACATACTTGTCCAACACTTTGTAATGCTTTTAAATCATTTTCAGACTTGTCATATTGCTTGGTCAGATCTTTGAGATGTTCTCTCACTAAAAAGAAAAAAATCACCATGTCATCCTGTTAAATTGATCATCTCAAGTATGACACATTATAAATATATTAATACATTAGCGACATAAAAAAAATATGTCTAAAATCATAAGAATGATAAAAAGTGAAATTTATATAATGGGAAATTGATGGGAAGATGGAACATAATGGGGAGGATAACGGAAGCGTAGGATGCCAGTAGGATGAGGTTATAAGTCTTTGATATTTCGCAGATACAGTTATTCAAGTAAATCGTATAATTCCGACGAAAGCGCATTACTTTCTTTGAGACGTGACTCCACTTCCTTGTGCTCCAAGAGCTTTTTTCGAAAATCTTGAAGGGCTTTCTCCCTCACAGAATCCATGGTGACCGCCATCTTCACTTATTTTGCTGTCTAACTGTCATCGAAAGAATATCCGCGTAGATGGGCAGGACTGTGCGTGTCGCGATGCAAAAGCTGGCGGAGGCGAAAATGTCACTAGGAAGCGGGCTCTCTCATTGGATGGCGATACGGCGCAATACACGATTATCAGAGACGCGTGTGAATCATCTATTGGGCTGGAACTGTGGAGCAACATTAGGGCCGGAGCGACAGTTGCGCCGCAACTGACGTCTCTCTCGGTTCAGCGCTATCACGTCGACGATCACTGTGTACATATGTATTACCTGCCGCACGCGTATCTATGATTACTCAAGTTTGTATACGCGCACCACTCCCGCTACTGCGTGTCCGCGATTTTTGTGGAATTTCCAGAGCGGAACGTAATTCGGAGGATCGGCGGAACATCGACAAGTGCGCATCGACGTTCGAGCGATGGGGGACGCAGCGATGAACGTCGCAGCGTCCGGTGGCGGCGGCGGCGGCGCCGGTGGTAGCGGCGGCGGTCAACGTATCGTTAAGGAAGGCTGGCTTCAAAAACGCGGTACTGTCAACGATAAGTTTTCATAATATTTATGTTTCGCGCGATGTTTGCTCGTTCGCTCCTCTCCACGTCGTTTCGCGAGCGTATGTCACGCACAAGTGTCACAACCGTCTTCGGGCTGTCGACCGAAAACATTCGCATCATCCTGCGCCCGTCGATATCGGTTATCGCTCGGCGGGACGCTACGTCGCGCGTGACGTCGAGTCGGCGTGTTTTTGTGTCACTTTGCGCGATGCGCATTTTCTGACGCACCATCGACGAAACGTTCGAATATACCGTGAAATATCAGCACCCTGATCTGCTCATTCCATTTTCTATCATAAATCCTTGAAGGATCTCCTTGCTTCTGTACGTATAAGATGTACAAATCGTTGGGACATTCTCAAGTTGTATGCATAATTTATTTGTAGGTGAGCACATAAAAAATTGGAGATCAAGATACTTTGTCTTAAGAGACGATGGTACATTGGTTGGGTTCAAGGCAAAACCTGATCAACAAATGGCAACGTCTGCACAGCCGTTGAATAACTTTACCGTGCGAGGGTGCCAAATAATGTCAGTGGAGAAACCTAGGCCTTATACATTTGTTATCAGAGGCCTGCAATGGACAACGGTAATCGAGAGGACATTTCATGTAGAAACTGAGCAAGAAAGGGAAGACTGGGTAGCAGCAATCAGGTTTGTTTTTGTCTATATGGAATTTTCCAATCATTAAAAAATTCTTCAACACTCTGATATTTTCTCGTAGATATGTAGCGACTAGATTAGCCAATGAAGAACAGCAGCAAGAACAACCACAAATGCAACAATCTTCCTCTTCGGAAGATGTTGATATGGAATCGTCGATAGGTACTAGATCTGATTCCTGTACTTCTTTAGGTGTTGTATCTACAGACATAGACGGTGGTAGTATCGATGAATTATCAGCAAAATTCAGTGTTCAAGGAACTTCCAGTAGTAAAAGTACTGGTAAAAAGAAAGTAGTAAGTTACATTGCTTATCTTTGTAAGTAATCTTATCTAATCATTTCCGTAGAGAACATAGGTTGTATCAGATAATCTCATTTATACCTGTTTTTTTTTTTTTTTTTTTTCATGAATTCTCTGCGTGTATATGTTCCAGACGCTTGAGAATTTCGAATTTTTAAAAGTTTTGGGGAAAGGTACGTTTGGAAAAGTAATTCTATGTAGAGAAAAGGCGACGGGGCATTTATACGCTATCAAAATCTTGAGAAAGGAAGTTATTATTCGTAAGGATGAAGTGGCGCACACACTTACTGAAAATAGAGTATTACGTACTACGAGTCATCCTTTTTTAATTGTATGTTAATTGTATATAAAATACCGTTAAAATAAGTCACTCTTATCAGATATTTTGCGATTTAATCTTACAGTATACATACTTTTTTATTACACTATGACGTAATATTGCCACATTTGTGAAATTAATTTGTTTATAAATTTTCAGTCCTTGAAATATAGTTTTCAAACAGCAGACCGGCTGTGTTTTGTCATGGAATATGTAAACGGCGGCGAGTTATTTTTCCATTTGAGTCGGTCGCGAGTGTTTGGCGAAGATCGTACCAGATTTTACGGCGCGGAAATTATATCAGCCCTTGGTTACTTGCACTCGCAGGGCATTATATACCGTGACCTCAAACTGGAAAATCTCCTCTTGGACAAAGACGGGCATATAAAAATTGCTGACTTTGGCTTATGTAAAGAGGACATTACGTACGGTTTGTATCATTTGGAATCAAATCAATATTGAATAAATCTCACTATATAATTTTATAACATACATATAGGAAGAACGACAAAGACCTTTTGTGGAACGCCAGAGTATTTGGCACCAGAAGTACTCGAGGATAATGATTATGGGCGAGCTGTGGATTGGTGGGGTGTAGGTGTAGTCATGTATGAAATGATGTGTGGCCGATTACCTTTTTATAACAGAGACCACGAAAAGCTGTTTACGCTTATTTTATTGGAAGAAGTAAGGTTTCCTAGGACGATTAGTAACGAAGCAAGGGACATGCTCGGCGGTGAGTATTACCGATAATCATGATCGAGTTGGGAGATTTACACGCATTATTTGCGCACAGGTCTGTTAATAAAGGATCCAAGCAGAAGATTAGGCGGTGGTCCTAACGATGCGAAGGATATCATGAACCACGCATTCTTCTCGTGTATCAATTGGACAGACCTTGTTCAGAAGAAGATTCCTCCTCCCTTTAAGCCGCAAGTGACTTCAGATATTGACACTCGATATTTTGATAGTGAATTTACCGGCGAAAGTGTTGAACTTACACCCCCAGATCAAGGCTGTTTAGGTAGTGGAGGGGGTCTGAATTCTATAGCGGAAGAACAAGAACATTTCCCCCAGTTTTCATACCAAGACAGTCACTCTGCGGCAACTTCTTCCATCGTTTCTATTAATCACTGACAGTGTCAAGTGTCTTGCTTAATTAATGTAAACGAGACGTGTGGTTCAATGCATGAAAAATCTCAAGCAGAAACATCCGATTACAGTATGTATCTGACGATTGTCTGCGAAGCTTAAAGCTTTCCCAATAGGCAGATCAATCAAGTTATCTTTCTTTACGATGCTTTGTTTTTATGCATCCTATGAGATCGTCACACATATCTCCAACGGCGAATTAGATTTATGCGTATAAGTGTGCGCTCGCATATAACACCTATACACATAACTATTCATTAAAATTGTATATGGCAAAATGTATACTATAAGATTAGATTGATATGATACGATTAATACTTGCTGCATAAGCTCGAAGGATTATGACAGGGATTAAATTACGTTCTCAATTGAATCAAGTTAACTAAAACTCCTTGAGACACGTATTGTGAATATTGAACAGTTTTCTCGTCTCCAAGGAACGTGTGGTAACCATAAGTATAATCTTGTGTTTAACCAAAACAATGCTTGACACTTTCCAAGCTCGCTCCGTCACTGTTTATTATCTTATTTGTGGAGGGGCAATTCTTGATCCGTTTTAATCCGGTAGATGACTTACGGCAGATGCCAAAGTAGAAAATTAAAAATGGCAAAAGGCCAGTAAAAAAAGAAAAATAATGGTTTATCCATTGTGAAGGTAGAATTGTAGAAAAAAAAATCAGCTTTAATTGAATGTATAAATTCGATAGATCACTTTTTTTAGCCTTATAAAGATATTATTATGACTGGCAATAATTGGAGATGTGCGAGTATTCGAAACACTAGCAGAATATATGAGCTGTATCGGCATACTTGTTCGAAGCGAATGTTTGACTGTTTTTTTGGAATTATTTGAAAAGATCGTTTTGAAGGGAGTTTATGACTTGAAATATATTTTCCTCCTACTCTATAAGAATTTCCCCCTTTAAAAGATGTCTATCGGGGTGATTCTTCAATGGTGATAACGAGATACAATATTATGCGTGAATATTTCGTTGATTCATCGTGAAAGCGGAATTGTTGCCAGATAGTAATGTTATCGATACAAAATGATTTGTGCATAATTGTGATTAAAGTGCTTAGCGTATAATCATTCTCTAATGCGAATAATATTGTTACACTTGAATGCGAATACGGAAATATAAAATAATCACACAGTCAGTTTATATATAATTACCCTATTTTTAAATCTATCGAAACTAGTCACACAATTTATATATCATTTAGATAAACTATTTCACACACATTTGCGAAAGTTCGGTGATTTAAAGCTGATAAATGTGTAAGAATACAATTGAGAAATTTGCAGGTTGAAAATATATTAATCGCGATTATGAGAACGCGATTTGAATAAGTCTCACCTGAAGTCGAGAAATACGTGATACGTCAAATTGAAGAAACTCACACATTTCTAATTATAAAATAAATTTTTAATTGAAACATTCGTCCTGCTTAATGAAGTCAAGCTATTCGTTACATATCTTTATGTATCATTGAGTAGCAATCAATTGTGAATTAAAC